ACAGTCCATTTCTTGATGACACATTCTGATAATTTCTTTTAGAGGAACAATCGTTTCAATTCTCTCTCCTTTATTATAAAATCCGTCAAATATCACATTTCCAGACTCATCATATTCTGTTCCTCTGTACTGGCGATTACTGTTCTCAAAATGTCCATCGTACCAAATTCTTCGAGGCTCATCAAAAATAGTGCATCTTCCTATATATGATTTTTCTATTCCTTCCCTCCATTCACTGATTCGACTGATCTCGCCTTTTTCATCATAGAAGTAGCAAATCCCTTCTATTCTACAAATATCATCTCGTTGAGTAATGCTAATCAGTCTCCCGCCTTCATCATATTCCTTCCAATATCCTGGCATTTCTTTTAGAGGAACAATACTCTCAACTTTCTTTCCGTGGTCATAAAAGCCGTCAAATCTTGTATTGCCATCCTCATCATTTTCAACTCCTCGACCTTGAAAAGTACCTTTTTCATAACGTCCCTTATACCAAATTCTTCGAGGCTCGTCAAATATCTCGCAGTATCCAGTATCTGACATTTCTTTACCTTCTTTCCATTCACTGATTCGATTGATCTCGCCTTTTTTATCATAGAAGTAACAAATCCCTTCATTTCTACCATAATCATCTCGCCCAGTAACACTAATCAGTCTCCCATCTTTATCATATTCTGTCCAAAATCCTGGCATTTCTTTTAGAGGAACAATCGTTTCAATTCTTTCCCCTTTTTCATAAAAGCCGTCAAATAACACTTTTCCAAACTCATCGTACTCTGTACCTTTCCATTGACGATATCCGTCCTCCAAAGTCCCTTTAAACCACAGTATACCTTCACTATCGTACAGTTTGCACGGGCCACTGGCTGTTCCGTTCTGAAAATATAATTCCGCTATTTTTATGTGTTCCCCTTTGTAAACATATGCAAGGCCATGTATATCCCACTTATTCATAGGTGTTTCAATTTGATAAGCTTGATTAGAATGCTGTATTGAAAGTCTCCAGAAACCATTGTTTCTTTCCATTAAATGAAAGGGAAACAGCGATCCTGTGATTCTAGTATTCCAAGGATGAATATCCCGTTTTGCCATATACATAAAATTTGTGGTTTAACATTGTCAGTTTAGATTTCTTCCTATTTGTGTTTATGAAAAATAGCAATACTATGATTTTTATTTATGCTGCTTAATAATACTTTGTTATATACACATACTAAGGGGTACTCAATGAAGTATCTGTTCTTTAGCCGAAGTCAAATTGTTGGATGTTTCATAATAAGAGGAGTATATCCATGGCATTATTACTCAAAACTAGATGTGAGACGATGCTGCGTATTTTGGTTAATCAGCTGTGTTTCTCATTATCCTTATCTAAAACAACAAGAATTCATTGTATATTGTATAAATGGCTTGATCATCTGTTAGTTGCCAAATATAGTCATATCAACTGCAGTGGCATTCTTAAACTCCTTTGTAAACCTATTTTGAGCAGTTAGCTCATAAAACTTGTTTTCTCCTATTCTGTTCATTTTCCGTATTTTGTTTTGATTTTTGTGTTATCCAGTATAATGAGATTCCGACATTAGTACGTGTGTTCACACATCGACCTACCTTATACAAGAACTTCTCTTGAAATGATGTAGCAATGCATTAATTGGTTTCCACTCTATGTTTATTACAAAATAAGATATAAAATGTGGTATTAACAAGTATGTAACGAGGTTTATTCTGAATAGAAATTATGGAAATGCAATATTTGTGTCCATTTCTTCTATACGAAAAAGAATCACTTTTATATCTGTTATTCAAAATAGCACTCCCTGTCTGAAATAGAAAGCAAAATGAAAATATCATTAACAAGTCTTTGTACTGGTTATGGAGATCTTGATTCAGAATTTATCCTAGATTCAGATTCTTCCAGGTACAATTAAATACGGTCATTCCATGTAGAATACTCTTTAATGTTCGTGATGGGACACAACGACTTTGTGCTGAGCATTCTCTACGTCTCTCTAGGTTAAAGGTTGTATTTATTTCTCGATTATCGGTTGATACTCTTGGGGGTCTTCCTGGTATGGTTATGCGTGTGTATATTTAACTATTTAGGAATGATCCTTTCGATATATGATATGGGAGTCCGCGAATTAGTCATTTATGGACCTGAGGGCATCTGCTCATACATAGAATCTATCCAACTATTTATCACCAGGTATCCTGTTTTTTCATACCAATTTTAAAGAGTCGATCTGCGATTGACGGTTGTTGAGGTAGAGGCAGATATCCCGGTGGTGGAACTTCATAAGGGTCTTAGCGTTCGTCCTTTTATGTTGTCCTCAGGAAATTCTAGTTATACTCGAGAGGAAGTGCACCTGGCAGGTATTCACAGATTGTTGATGGCATGCTAGATTATATGGATCTATCGTTTTCCCGCATTTGTCGAAAAGTACCTGTATTGGACTCTGAAATATCCTATTTAATTGATATTCCCTCTATAAAGGGCAAGTTTCGTCCAGACTTGGCTATCCGTCTGGGGGTTCCAAGAGTAACAACGAAAAAGGATTTCTGATGTAGGGAGAGATGTTCCGAACTCTGTGTGAGGGTGGTTCCGTGAAGGTAGGAAGTAGGATAATTACCAGCGACATGGTAATGGATCCTCCTTCACGTGGTCCTTCTGTGTTGCTGCTCAATATTCATCAATTGAAACTATTAGCAAGATTCGAGTCATCTCCTCTTCAAGAATTGATTCGCTCTTCGTTTAAATTTCGTTTCTTCTCGATTTTAGGGATGTTCTTTCTGCAGTGTATTTGAACTGTCCCTCCGCGATCGCCAAGCAAATTGAAACGCCAGCTTCCGTGGAACGAGTCGTTCTTCCTGACTCGCACTTATATTACCCTGTTGTTCATACAGCCAGCACAATTGTATGCTCGCATTTACGAATGATTTTCCCTTTGCTTTTCCCAGAGATCGCTGTTTCGCCGATGTTGCCCTATGGAGATTGTCACTATATGGTATTTCTTTCGAGGAGAATGTAGTGTAGCAATGCAGAGAATGCTTTTCGCTCGCTCCTTTTAAGCCACATACCTTTTTGCCCCCTCCTCCACCTGAGTTTATTACGCAGCTGACAGATGAGGAGAAAGAGTTGGGCGCAAAGGTGGCGGCGACATTCGAAGAGGCTAAACCGACGAATATTCCGGGCTCGCTTCTCTTTCTGGGAACTGGTTCGGCAGTACCTTCCAAGTATCGAAACGGTAAGGTTGGTGTGGATTGCCGATTGTCTAGTAAGTTCGATGCTTCTTGAACTTCCTTCCGGCGAGTTTGCTCTTTTAGATTGTGGCGAGGGAATGATGGTGCAGCTGTTGCGCTTGTATCCGACGACGTGGAAGTCGATTCTTCTGCGTCTACGTTTCGTGATCATAAGCCATTCTCATGCTGATCACCATCTTGGGCTTCCTCTGCTGCTCCGTTATTATAGAATGGCGCGAAACGGACAGCAAGATGGAGTAGAGACAGTGGATGGAATGGATGAAGTGGATGGAATGAGTGGAGTGGATGAAGTGAATGGAATGGATGGAATGAACGCATTGAATGAATTGAATGGTATGGATGAAAATAACCATTTCACTGGAGTGGATAGAGAGAGCAAAATGCGTGAGTTGAAGACATCGAAAGAGCCAATTCACAGTGACTCTACGAATCAATCCATTCAATCAGACACTCCGCACACATCTCCGATTTTGGATAACACGCCAAATTCGAGCACGTGTTTTAGCTCCGAGAACACTCCTAACTCGATTCATTCCATCTCATCCAACACATCTCGTTCGTCAACCCACTCTCCTGACCTCCCAAGTCGCATGTTTTCTGAAAAACGAATTCAGCAAGCTGATAATCGCCTTCTTATTTTCGGTCCTCCTCGAGTTGGCGTGTTTTTACACCATTTAGCACACTTGATTCCTTCTCTCAACGCCTCCTTCCATTTCGTTTCCCTTCAACTTCCGAACGCTCCCTTTTACATCCCTCCCGATTGCCACACTCCTTCCATCGTCACGTCCGCGGCGACCGCCACGTTTCCGATCCCTCGCGGGGTTTCGGTTACCCAAACTCCGCGTGGAAGCCTGCAAATTGCTTTTCCTTCAGGAGTTCTCACCGTGTTTCCAGTACTGTCGTGAGACGGCTTTGATTTACAGGTATTGCACACTGACGACTCGGTAGCGACGTTGCTACAGACAAACAAACTGACCCTTCTTTATACAGGCGATGGAAGACCTGCTTTCGATGCCTATAAATATCTACCCGACGGAACTGTAGACTTCAAATGAAATGAGCTACTTGATAGAAAATCGATATTCTAGTAAATGAAAGCACCTTTACAAAGGAACACCTAGATGCGGCGATTGCCAAGAACCATTGCACAATGGAGGAAGCAATCGAGGTTGGAAAGATGCTAAATGTCAGATACACAATTCTCACGCACTTTTCGCAGAGATATCCTAAAAACGTTAACCACGATCAAGGAGCACGGAATGAAGAGATATCGACAGTAACTTTGCAGGAACGCGCAGGAAGTTACAAAACGTTTGTGTGTGCTCACGATTTGATGAAGATCAAATTTGATCATTTGGATGCCATATGTCAGCTGCGAGAAGACATAGAAGCCTGTTTTGTAGATGAAGATGATTCTTTCTCTTTTTGTTTAAAATGGAACTTTTCATATACCAGGGAGTTACATTTTCACGTGCGTATGGTTGTTTTACGTATTATTATTATTACAGGTCTTTTACTTGATGAGTTCAGATTATATATTTAGCCAGATTAGAGAATCCTCGGATGTAGGTGTTTTTTCGATCGTTTAGGGATAGTGGTGTGAATCGGGGTATGAGGGTCTCTGCCTTGATGTTATTGATAAATATTGGTGGGGAGTACTCATTGAGGTAATTATCTTCTTTATCACTTTCTCGATCATTGGAAATGTTTTTCTGTTGCTTTTTTTCGATCTTAGTTGTGCGATGAATTTTTAGTTCCTAGTCTTGAAATTATGAGTGTCAAGCTGAAGCTTAAGGAAGATGTAGCTGGAGCTTCGTTTTTAGCCTTTGGTGCCTCGGCCCCTGAAATTGTCATTAGCATTATTACCACAATCCAGGGAGGTGACAACGTGGATCTTGGTGTTGGATCCATCATTGGGTAGTTCTCTTATATTGCCCAATCAGGCATAGATCTGGAATGATTGGATTGATGCTAATTCCTGGTGTTTGCGGACTTGCTACAAAGCGTGATTTGGAGTTGAAACGTCGTCCTCTGACGCGAGACGTTATTTTCTATTTGTTTTCTCTTGCCGGACTGGTTTATTTCCTCTGGGATGGAACGATCTACCCCCTGGAAGGAATTTATCTGATGCTCATCTATGTTATCTACATTGCCATCCTTATCTTCGCCCCCATGGTTCGCCGTCAATACCGAATCAAGAAGAATGTATTTGTGATGCGTCTCGTTTCCCCTAGTTAATCGACCCGAACGTTACGACATCGTTTATCACTCAGGAAGGGATGGACAGCGACGACGAGCGAGCGTATGAACCAATTGACGAGCGAGCGGATCTTACTCAGGACATCGCGATGGAAGTGGCTTGGAACCCCATCGATTCAAACGTTCCGCTGTCTCCGATGCTTCGTGTCCGCGCTTCCATTTCGAGTTTTTGATTTTTGCTGCGATTTCATCTAGGATTTTTGTCGAAGGTGGGATCTGTGTACCGCTCGTACATCGAGTTCCCTATTTCCTGGTTCTTTAGCCACGTGATTCCCAAATGCGAGCACGGTTTTGCTAGCGATCGCTCTCTGATTTGCAGGAACATCCACCGAGAATCTCTTTGTAATCACATTCCTTTTGTCGATCTTCTGGGTGGCCTTGGTGACGTTTGTGATGAGCGCAGTGTGCCAACGTTGGGTTGCTTTAGTGGAGAATCTGGGCATGATATCCTTTAATATATTTCTTTTATTTTGATTTTTTGAATTTCCAAGTCGAAAAGAATCCTTAACTGCACTCTCCTAGTGTGGGAACGCTCGTGGGAATGGTGCTCATCGGTCTTGGAGCGTCCATTGCTGATGTGATGCAGTGCTACACCGTGTCGCGAAAAGGCTATGGATCGATGGCTATCTCGAATAGCGTGGGATCCCAAATTCTTAACATCTGTGTGGGTCTGGGATTGCCGTGGACGATTAAGGGATTCTCTTCGCATCAACCGGTCCACATCCCTGGATTCGACATCGTGTCCAAGGCGGGATTTTTGCTTGGATTTGGATCGCTGGTGCTCATCGGAATCACTCTCGGACCTGCTCTGATTTACAGAGAGAACAAATGCCGTTTGGGAAAGTAGGATTGGAGATTGTGTTTAAGGGGCGTAGTGGAAAAGGACTTCTCATGACACTCATTTATGTCCTGTGTATTGCCGTTTATTCCGTAGCCACGCTTTCCGCTTGACCTGTTTGTTAAAATCACTTTTTGTACTCGCAGCTCGGATCCATATTCCGTTGTTCCTAGGTCTGCATTAACTGTAATGGATGGATATAGTATCAGTATCACAACAAGTGCAGTTACTAAGACTCCTTCCCTGAAACAATTGTTATCGTCCTTTCCGTACCATGTCTTGTCCTTTCTTGATATATCCTTCTGTGCAATTTGCTTCTTTTGCTCAGTTCCTTAAGTCTGTAGATTCCATCAATTCTCTCGATTGCAAACGCCTTTCCTGACATGAAGGCCGTTGTCTTCGATGACTTATTATGGAAATACCTCATAATGCGAGACTTTTATCCATGTTGCTACCTTGCAATGTTTTCTATTTTAGGCAAGAGGGTTTGGGATGTGCTGAATCAAGAGAATGCTCCTATGATAGATCTGTATTCTCAAGTGTACGCTGTTCTGTACTGTTATGATTTTAGAAAATGTCAACGAAAGATATTGCTTATGCAGCTAACAAAGGAAAACAGAGTGATTGAAGAGACGAATGACTTGCTTGTATTTCTCTGGCTGCAATCTGATCGATAGAGAGCTCGCGAGCGATTGAGAATAGTCTATTTAGTTGTAAATATTATCTTCTCCTGGCTCTCTCTTCCCTACTTGGGCATTCTCCAAGTCGTCATGCTTTTTCTCTACTACCAGGGAATCGTTTTTGCTTGATTGCTGGCTTCCTGTTAGATTTCAAGTTTATCCCTCGCCTTCCTTCCACTCTTCTTGATTTTGCTCATTCTGATATGTGATATTATCCTCAACTTCATTGCTTGGCTCGTCAGCACTCTGCACATCGAAACAAGCGTCCTTTCTCAACAGTGGGAGAACATGGGATTCACCTTCGTCAAATTTACTTACGAAAAGCTCTACCAGGATCGGACGCATGGCTTCTTCTGGATATTTACAATCATGATATCCCTCTTCTGTTTTGTACTGTTTTTGGGTCTCCGTGTGGATCAGTGTATGTCCTATTGCCTGTTTACACGTGTAGTCATTTCTTGGTCCTGGATGTGGGTATTTCTACCCCTATGGATCGCCTTAGTGGCTGTGTTTCGCTCTGTTCCGGTTGCAAACTGGAGTGCTGAGTAGGATTGTATTAACGTACTAAACATCGTAGAGCCTTTTTTGTATACAAGGTGATTTTGTTCCTATTTGGACTTCCCATAGCCCTGTTCACCGTTCTGTTGATGCTCAAGCTTCAGTGGTTTCCACATCTACAGTTAGTTGTGGTCTTTACGCCTCTTTGGTTTATGGATTGTGGGTGAGGTCTCTGTGTGCTATTGTAGTGACTCTGACTGTCTTTGTTCTGGGTCCTACCGTGGCAGAGTTCGTTCGGCAGTCCGTTTTGAGGAATATTCGGGGAATTCTTGATGTAAGGCTGGCGAAGAGGTCGGATGTGTAGACATTGGACCTCTTCGGGTTTTACTCGTTCGTCGTATTTCCGAAAATCGTGCTGGAGTTTCTCTATTGCGCGAAAGAATACTTCTCGAATGTGTCTGTTTCCTTTTCCTGTATTCCACTTATTGTAATTATGGTAGATCGTTGCGAATCTCGTTGATTCTAGATTTATACTTGCGTCATTACCACATCGGTCTGTTTTAGCTCCTTTCATTTTCATCAGCGTGTCTTTTCGTTTTATTCAGAGTAGTGTGTTTGTAGAAAACATCTTAAAAAAGAGTAAACAACATTGAATAGAAAGCAATTGAATTAATGAGCACCAGTCTATTCATAAGAGTATCGAATCATAACAAAACCTCGATCAAAAAATAGAGAGAACAAAACATAACAAACATACCCAAGATGGTTCCGATCGCCACATTCTATCTTTTAGCCTTTTTCACAGTACATACTTTGGGTGTGGTATATTCTAGTGATGCTGGAATCAGCTCATAAATGCTGAGAATAACCATAATGCCTGCTACGATCGCATTCATGATCGCCATGAATGTTGTTGTGAGATATTCACTAAAAAGGAGTCCGAAGACAATGGCAGCAAGTGGTTCACAGATGGATGATATTAAGCAAAGCTTGATAGCCTGCCATTTACTACACTGTTATTCAGGTCCACCGTGTGCACTTTTTTGTACTAACATAGATAGGCAGTGCGACTGCGATTCCCTCAGGAATATTATGAATAGCGATAGCGATAGCCACAACAAGTCCTCTTCCTGTGCAATGCAGAAGATAATCCCACGAAAACAAGGATGGAGGTTCCACAGCACAGACGCCTACAACGGTCGCATTAAAAACAACGAGCCCTTCAGGGAGATTATGAAGAGAAATGCCCAAAGCAGTGACTAAGCCTGTCATTTCCAAGCTGTGAGAGTTGGAAGAGTCACTGGACGAGTGTTCAATTTCAGGAATGCATTGCGTTAACAAGAGGAAAAGAATCATTCCCATAAACATCTATGTATAAAAAGCACATGTATATTCTATGTACAGCAATATTTGCTTTTAACATTCCATTTTCTCCTAAGTCGATTTGTGCATGGACCATAATGTCCATAAATGAGATCTACAAAGTTACAAACATGAATCCAAACAATTACATATAGCATAATTCCTGCAGAGAAGGAAAGCATAAAGCCGAGTATTTTAGGAGATGGAGGATAGACAAAAACGACAAAAGCTCCACCAAGTGTAGCAGCAAGAGCCGATATAGTTGTAAGGAAAACAGCAAGATAAGGATGTTTATATTCATCAGGAATAGCTGAAAACTCTGAATCAGAATTGTGATTGTGATTGTGATTGTGATTGTGATTGTGATTGTGATTGTGATTGTGATTGTGGTTGTGGTTGTGATGATGGGAGTGATGATCAAAGTTGTGGGAAAGATCAGAAGGTGCATCACTATTATGTTGGCTTGAATCTTGGCTATTAGAAGAGGTTACAGTCTTGTGCTCAGGACACAATTCCTTCTCTTTATCATTTGTATCTTCGAGAGGTACTTCATTTGTATCTTCTTTTGGTTTCAAATATTCGTCAGTTGATTCTTCTCTATCATTTGTCTCTTCAGGAACTATTTCACTTGATTCTTCAGGAACTATTTCATTTGTTCCTTCGGGAACTATTTCACTTGATTCTTCAGGAACTATTTCATTTGTTCCTTCGGGAACTACTTCATTTGTCTCTTCAGGAACTATTTCATTTGTTCCTTCGGGAACTACTTCATTTGTCTCTTCAGGAACTATTTCATTTGTTCCTTCGGGAACTATTTCACTTGATTCTTCAGGAACTATTTCATTTGTCTCTTCAGGAACTATTTCATTCGCCTCTCCTTCAGAAACGGATGTTTCCTGATCCAAGATTACGCGCTCTTCCACAACGTTTTCTGGCAAAACTTCTACTTCTACAGGAAGGTTCTTGACCGACTGGTCTGGAATCAATTCCTTTTCCCCTTCTTGATAGCTATTCTCCGTTTCTTGATTTTGCATATTTCTATATAGTACAAGATATACTCCCATACGAATCCTTTTTCGGGAGTTCAGCCAAATAAAACTCCTTATCCTCAATCTCAATGTCTCTTATGTCAATACCTTTTTGCTGTACATAATTGAGTTAATCAAATCATACCCTCAAATAATCAATAAAAGGAATGCCATTTACACGAAGAATATGTCCATGGCTATCCACCTCAGTATAATCATCAACTATTTCTACTGGTTTTGCCCATAGTAAAAATAGCATAATGAAAAACAGGCAATATGTCATGCACCGGAATACTAGTATTTGATCCTTCACATACAAATTCGTACTTCGCTTACAAACAATGTTCATATCCCTTGCCATCTAAACCTTCTAAATCTAAAATAATAATGTTGTTGTTTTCTTTTTTTTTTCGTTTGTGTACCGCAGTATCGTAATTTACTGCCTCAGGTAGGTTTTATAAACACAACAAGAAGATCAAATTAAAGCTTTTAGACAAATTTGGGTTCATTTTCTGTGTTGTACCATTGTAACTCAACGCTAAGAAGGAATTATAGTCAATATGTCTGAATATGAACGATTTTCCCTTGCAATACGTCTGATCGGTTAGTTTCTCTTATTTGCAGATAATTTGGACCAACAAGTCAAACAACTTCGAGAGTGCCATACCAAATTACTAACAAACGTGAGATCGATCTCCATGATAGAGGAATATTCTAATTTCTTCGAAAAAGAGGAGGAAAATAATAGAGATAGAAGCATTCCTCAATCTTTATAAGGCGAAGTGCATAATTACCTATTTTAAGTTGTCCTATGTCTATATGAGTCAATGCTTGTTTTTAAACATCTTTTCATTTTTATTATAATCCAAAATCGGTCATAAGAGTATATATCAATTATAACCTGTTTTGTCCTATTTATAGAATAATTTTTGTATACAATAGCGTATATATATTCAGTCATGTCGTAGTATTGCTTGTTTCTTCAAATTCTACTCGTTTTGTTGTGTGAATTATGGCTATTGGTAAGTAACTTTGTATGAACTTTTGCTTGCTTGTCAATGGCTATTTCCAGAGTTCTAACCGATTTCTAGGCAAGTCTCAAAAGAAAATCAGTAAGAAGGGAAAGGGAAAGAAGGTGATTGATACCATGGCTAAGAAGGAGTGGTACGACGTGCGTGCCCCGAACCAGTTCCTGGTGCGTGATGTGTGCAAGACGCTCGTGTCTCGTACTTCGGGATTGAAAATCGCTTCGGAAGGTCTGAAGGGACGTATTTTCGAGGCCAATCTGGGCGATCTGAGCAAGAACGAGGAGCAGGGTTACCGCAAGATCAAGCTGCGAGTGGAGGACGTACAGGGAGACAAGTGCATCACCCTCTTCTACGGAATGGACATCACCCGCGACAAGCTGGGTTCTCTGATCAAGAAGTGGAAGACTCTGATCGAGTGCAACGTGGAGGTGTCTACCACCGACGGTTACAAGCTGCGTCTGTTCTGCATCGCGTTCACCCGCAAGCAGGACAACCAGAACAAGAAGACTTGCTACGCGCAGGCCTCTCAGATCCACCGCATTCGTGCGAAGATGGTGGAGATCATCACGGACGAGGTGTCGAAGTGCGATCTTGCGACGCTGGTTCCGAAGCTGTGCATGGAGTCGATCGGTGCTCGCATTCAGAAGGAGTGCAACAAGATCTATCCTCTGGAGAACACGCTGATCCGCAAGGTGAAGATGATCAAGTCGCCCAAGATCGATACGGTGAAGCTGATGGAGCAGCACGCCGATGTCGTGAAGAAGGAGGAAGAGGGCGTGAAGGTGGAGGAGACTGTGGCTCCCATGGCTGGATCGGGAGGTCGTCTGTAAGGTAATAGAACACACAACAATTTCGGAAGTGTTTGTTTGGTGAACATGTATTTTCACTTTTAAATGGACAATGATACGAAAAAGATAAAGTGTGTATTGTATTTAGGTGGGTAGAGTAGGTGGTTGTCTGATTCGTTACACTTTGGAGATTGTTTAGGATATAAGAATAGGAGGGAGTAATCGAGAATAAACTCTCCGAAAAGAAATCTGAGCTAGGTTATATAATGGTCAACAGATATTTATGTTTATGTTTTTTATATGAGATTAGTATTCTAACAAGGATCTGATTCAGTGTTGTAGTTTCGATTTGAAAAAGTATCTTAGGATCTATTGTAAGAGAGCTCAATAGACAACGATATCTGTCCGACCAGACAAATACTACTGTCTATTTTCTCTCAATAACTGTAAAATATGAATTCACTCACATTAAGAAAACAGAAATTGTTCACAAATATGAATCATGTTTGTGTAAAAAAACACAAATAAATCTTCTCCTCTTTCGCAACTTCAGGTTGTTCTTCTTTAGCCATGGCTGGACTTTTATCAGACTCTTCCGGAGGTATTTCAGAGTCCGTTTCATTCATGGGCTTTACTTTTTTCACCTTCGCCACATCAGCTTCCTGCTTCTTCTCTTTTTTGGCTTGCTTCTTCTTCTTCTTCTTCTTTTCTTCCTCCGAATCCGATCCCGAATCCGATCCCGAATCCGAAGTCACTGAATCAGTGTCATTCGAATACTCCTCCTCATCTTCATTCGAATCAGAATCAGAATCAGAATCAGAATCAGAATCGCTCTCATCCTGGACCTTACTCGAGCGCCGACTACTCTTAGATTTCTTAGCAGGCTTCTTCGCACTCATGTTGGCGAGCGCACTGGGGATATCCGTTATCGTGCTTACAAGAGCAGAACCAGAATTCTTCAGCAGCTGCTTTTCTTCCTTTTCGCGCTTCTTGCTCAAGCTAGAAAGATCCTTAGAGCGGTCCTTGATTTCATCCTTCGAAGGCTTGTAATTCAAAGACTGATACACACCATCATCTACGCCCTTGTGCTTTTGCTGAATACGCTCCACATACTTATCCCCGAATTTAAATGCAATTTGCGCAGTAAAACGCTGGAAAGAGGGCATTCCATAGAAACAAGTAAAATACACGATTGAGGCAATGGCAGAACTAAGTTCTTCAGGCACTTCAGTTTCCTTAATAATAGTTTTCACATTCTTTTGCACAGATTTCACCAGAGGGACTAACTTGTCAAAGGCAGAGCATCTCTCTTCCAGCGAAATAACCTCTCTTGTCCATTCTCGCAATTTTTCCTTATCACCACGTTTAAAAGTGTGATATGCTTCCTCTAATGCATGATCTAATTTTTCTTTCACATGCAAATACTCCTGCAAATTATTTACAAAGAATAGGCAATACAGAAATCATATCCTTTGTTAAGGCTGCGGTCTGATTAGTGAACTCCTTTTTGTTCCATCCCTTCACTCCAAGCTTCCAAAGGGGAATCTTCTTTACCAAATAGGCAGGGTCAGGTACTATAGATTATCTTCGGATCGCTTTTATACTTGAAGCCTTAATCGCCTTTTCTGTACGATTAACAAACAATTGGGCAAACATAAGGTGAATATGATACAAAACACACAAAACACAAGTACAGTGTGAGTGTGGACATAATTATCAAAGGACTGTTAGTATTATAGATAATGTTGAATATCGAAAGTGATTATTTTATCTATTAGAACCATCGTCTGATGGAACTATGCCAAGTTAATAATATATAGAATAAAAGAAAAATAGTGTTTCCATTACCATCTTTTGATATTCCTCTTTATTTGACGCATTTTTCATAAGAATATGGATCTGATATTAAGAGCACGTTAAAAAGCAGGTTTACCATTATCGATAGTGTTCAATGCCTCTTAGGTGGTGCATGCTTTGCACACATCATTCTCTGGTATTCTCTTTCGTATTTCATTGATTAATTCGAATAATCTCCTATTTACGCGTCTTCTTTCTACTATTCAAATGGAGGTATGAACACTAATGTTAGAGAGCAATCCAAATCGTTTTATAAAATGGTTTCACCCTGTTTTTTGGGTACCTTCTGCTTTTAATCATTTTCCGGCTGGATATTTGTCAATGATCTATTTCTCCATTTTGCTTTTTTCCTTCCATTACTTGCTTTTATTCTTTTATTTTTCGGTCTTTATTGGCATGTAAGAGTTGTAGTAAAATGGTCAAAGATACTTATAGCCCCTTTTTTGAGTGTAACAGTGTATTATCTTCTTTTGCTATATTTCTTACTACTGTAGCGCTTTCGTTTCAGAGACATTTTAGCAGATTATCGTTTTTTATTGTTCGAGTCTGACTTTCTATCTATCTATCTATTTATTCATTCATTCATTTAGATAGATAGATAGATAGATAGATGGATGGATGAATTAAGTGTTTCTGGAATATCTGATACACGGTTTCGAAACAATAGCTATCTTCATTTCGGCAGGTCATTGTCAATCCATATATTGGAAGATAGCTTCGTATTGTATGTATTTAAAACAGCATTAGGCCAGCATTCTCCAATTACTAAGTTCTCTGGAGTTGAAAAGGAGTTTATAGTTTAGATAATTGCCATTTAATTTGTCATTTCTTCAAGCAAATGACAAATTAAAACAAGCATACATATATAAATAATAACTTCAGTGCTATTCATCTACATCGATTACACCAAATATCTGTTTTATCGCAGAATAATGAATCTACAAATACAAACTATCGTATTTTCTGTATCACTAGACAGGATAGTTCCGGTATTCACATTTGTTTCATCAAACACATCACCATGTTTTCCCTTCTTTTTCTACCATGAATTTGAGAGTCTTCATAACATTGTCTAGCTCTTTGCTCATGATCGGAACAAAATACGGGTTATCCTTATAGGTTTTCTCCAGAAGGGAAAACAGTACAGAACGGTAATCGCGCTTATCTAATCATTAGAATTCAAAAAAGAAAAAGAAAAACCGCCAATGGAGCTTAGATAGTTCTGCAACTTCACTAAAGTAGTATCCGCAATCTCTTCTTTCGCCTATTTGGTAAATTACGGTTCTAGAACTACTGCCTTCTTGGAAGGGGATGAAGTTACGGAGTGTTTCCTTTTATGAGCACTTTGAGGCAAATTCGAATCATCCAAAGGAGTCATTGAAGGTCTCTTTTTGCTTCCAGACTTTGCGGATTGTGCTGTATTTTGGCCATCTTGAGGAGCAGTCGCTACCAATGTCGATTTGCTTGGAACTGTAGGAGTCACATCTTCGCTCGTGGTAGAACACTCATACGGGGTATTCTTTTCCTCGATGAGAGAATTCCTTTCCAGAGTAGACAAGTCAAGGAATAAGGAAACATCCGAAGAAACTAATGAGCACAAACAACCAATCATTACTTGGGGTACTGCCCTTATTTGAGCTGGACTTTTTGTCCTTTTGCTTAATAATCGATACATCATCTTTTACTCCCTTTAATATATTACTAGCCCATGAAGTACTAAACACGTATAATGATTCGTCTAATTTGTGCTTGCGAACCTGCTCCCAGGCCTTTTCAATCACAAAAGCTTCCGTCACCATCTTCTCGTTGGCACGAGCTTCTTCCACTTTATACATCACTTCAGTCGATATCGAAAACACTTTGCTGCTCTTCTTCCCGTAAGGCTGATTACTCATGATTGCATCGCGATTACTCAAAATGGTAGATATTGTAGAATTGCTGACCGTCTTCTTCGTTCGCTTGTAATACTCCTCGGCGATGTCCGCGATCTTATACTCAGGGTGATTCTCTTTGATCGTAATTATTTCCTTCTTCTCGTGTGGACTTAATACCACCCGCTTCCTCCCCTGTGGCATGGTGATCGAAATATATATGCCTTATGCCACACAATATGTGTGTGTACACAGTGAGCCAACAGCATTTCTAACCCTAAAGTGAATAATCACAAGATCGGGAAAACCCATAATGAATATATTGGATTTTTTCTTGGTCCTTATATAGTTCGAGGTAGGAAAGCACTTGCTGGGTTGAGTCGCGTCAACTTGTCACCCGAGCGGGAGTAGGTTGGCAGGAGGTGTAAGGTCCTTTGGGTGTTTGTTTGGACTGTCAGTGACTTGCCCAGTTGGCTTTGGTGGTTAACGTGGGGTTCTCTTAGGAATTCGAGAATGCCATGTTACTAGGGAATGGGGTACCGCTGGAGGCTGGCAACAGAGCACAGAAAACCCATCGTCACTTGAGCCAACTGGATTACGGGTCTATATGACATCCTTACAAAGTCCTTAGGAAGGTTTGCATCCACTGTTAATCGATTACTTATTTTTTATATTACTTTAGTTTTAATTCTTTTGCTGAACATGGATGAGTTAACCATGAAGAGGATAGAACGTTTGTTTTCATTCCTGCAAAGTATCGCTGCTGTTTCACGTTGTCTCTATAGGTTCTACCCCTTCTACTGAACCTGCCAAGCAGCAACTGCGACGATTGGCGTCTGTAAATATTGCGAATGCTGAACAGATGCTAACTCTGGTAAAAGAAATCATTGACTTTATAAAACATAGGTAAAACGATATATGATATCTCCATGCTATGAAGAGCGTGTTGCTGCTGCAATCATGTTGGATGAAGCAGTTTCTGATTTTCCTGATTTTCAAATATCTGTATCTGATTATTCGTTACCTATCGAGTGGGAAAATATTAGCGCACGATCGATTCGGAGGTTGCAGAGTTGGTTGTCAAGTGATTGTTGTGTATTCCTTTATCAGGTTTATTGTTATTGTAGATTGACGATCTTGACCAAGTTAAAGTGGGAGAGTCTCTTCAATCAAAGCTAAGAGCGGTTATAGAGGATGAAGTTGATAAAGATGTGAATGATGTCGAAGTATTACAAGAGGCCAATAATCTATATGATATCGGTATGCTGTTTTGTTATTGGCTCTATTGTAGAACCAGTATCGGGTTTAGTGGGTGTTCATTCTGGTTCGACTTCCAGTTCAAAGTCTGATGCAGTTAACAAACCAAAGCAGATAGCAGTAAGCATTCCTGATTCACAAATATCTTCTACCATTACAGATTCAGTAACATCTTCTACTATTACAGATTCACAAACATCTTCTACTATTACAGATTCAGGAATACCTTCTACGATTCCAGACTTAAATGCACATTCACCTAATTCCTTGCCAGCAATCAAATTACTGACAGATAACTCACTCAGTTCTCACTGGGTCAACTCTTGCTTGGCTTCATTTCACCTGGATGATTCCTCTTTATCTTCGCTGTTCCTCTCCTCTTTACAATGGTTTTTATAAACTCTCAATTCCACTTTAGCTGTGTAAACGTGTCTTGGGAATACCGGCACGGTGGCTTTAGCATTTTAGCTGTCTTTCTACGGCGTTACAAACTTGAACCAAATGTATTATTTCTTTTTTCTCTTTCCATCAGGTATTATTGCTGATTCTATTCGTCGTTGTCATAGTTTTCTTTAGTGATATTTTCTTTGATGCATCATTTGATTTGTATCGTGTTCCTGTGCGTGAGACAGCCTGTGAATGCCTAACGCAACTGACTCTTGTTCCTTTGTGCCAATGTAAGTTAGACCAGATCATTTTTCAGCTTCACAGTCGCCATGATTGGAATCCAGCAGAAGAGTGGATATGGTTGTATGATCTAGCCCTTGCCACACAAGCCATAAATCATCACACACCTGCAGTTATTGACATGGCTTTAGAATGGTTTCGAAAAGGAGATTATGCCACTCAAGGAATAACAGGAAACCTTATCTGTAATTGGCTACATGATGATGCTTCCATTTTGCCAAATAACAAACTGGATGAACTAGGAGAGTTCATTGTCCAACAGCTGTGTTCTCATAACTTTTTGTCAGAATGGAATTGTGCTCTAAAGTCATATTTTATTATCCTTTCCCATGTACTTCCCAAGGAAAACGCAAGGTGGCAGGATGTCGTTAATTGTATGATAGCTTTCATTACTCTAATTTTCAGACATGCAAAGCAGCCTATTCAAAGAGAGAAGAGAATCATCCTTTTTAACCTTAATAGCCTTCTACTCGCTTTATCATTCCGCTTTTGTGAGAGAAGCAGTTTATCAATGTATTCAACATCTAGCCCCATACTATCCTACTGATGAAAGTGTGGTGCAGCTTTTAATGGATGCGTTTATTTGCGAGGATGCCATTCGACTTCCCTCTGCCTTTCAAGCCCTACTTTCAGTCCTTAAACCCCATCAAAGTACGTCTCAATGGGAACTCCGTCTTGTCCCGAAATTACATTCAGGGAACCGACTTATTGATGATTTACAATTGAAAGGAATTCTTCCCTTTTCTGGTAATGTCATCGATAGTAGTGGATGGTGTTTTATCCAACAACGAAACAAGGCGAACAAAGATCTATGCTTACTTTGTTATTGTCTTCTACATGCAATATGGGGGACCAACATTCAGCGCGAAACTGACTTTACCACAAAACAAATGTTACTTTTATGTGAACGAAACGAGATTTTAGAATGGGTATGTTCTATCCTTATAAATGATCACGTCTCTATTCCACATTGCAGTATATTAAGCCATTCTAAAGATACACAAACTACTTTCAACCCTTCTAAAAATGATGTTGATCAGTGCTTGCATAATGATAGTGAGTTAAGACTCATAAAAAAGTCTGTCGTTTCAATCGTGAAGCATTATCCAGATTTAAGTGACGAGTTGGTCCCAAAGTTAGATATATCTCCAATTGAACATTTAGTTCAATTGATTAATGAGAAAATAACTCAAAATCTGTCAGAAGATGGTCTTGGTTTTTTAGGTATAACTCACTCTGTAGATATGATTTCGCTTATCCTGTTACAAAAACATGTTAGGCAATATGTTGAAAGAAAGAATGAAATCATCCAAAGTATTAACATGCAACATAAAGTGGAAAGCTACTTATTTACCTTAAATCAGTATTATGATTGTGCCAATAGCGGAGATAAGTCATATCTCAAGACTGTGTTATCAGAATTCCATCATGTTCTCCCTAATTTATCATCCTTTTTGTTTACTCTTGTATGTTGCTCAGTTCCACTTTTATCTTCTGTAATATCCTCTCGCATTTTGTCAAATGTGTGCCGCATTCCATCCGAAACAAATTGTTTGCGTGCAGTTACAATTCTGCTAAAGCGCCTTTCCAGGACGGACCAGTGTCAGCATGTTCAAAAAGCACTCAGCGAGTTAATTCTTCGTGGGTTAGAAGGGACCGAACAAGACCAAATAAAAAGTATTTTTGTCCTGAAAGCAGAGATTCGGGGATTCGAAGATAACTCGTTTGTACGCCAAGACCTTATTAAGGTGATTGATTATGTTTGTGATACTTGTCCTGTATTAAGTGACACACATCCAGTCATTACAGAATTGCAACAATGTATTACAGATAGTAATAGTATTCCTTCTCTCTCACAGCACATTTGTGATATATTGTTAGAAGGAAAATCTGCATCATCCATAGTCCACTCTGTGGATCTATTACTTGCATTATATCAACATTCATCCATTCTTCTTGACAATTTATATCAGCTGTTGCTTGGAGTTAACACACGATTCTCTTCCTCTAACTCAAATATATATGTTCATTCACGATTGCTGCGAATTCTCTCTATTTCGTACTCTTTTGAGGGGTTAGAGCCCACATCTGAAGACAGGGAAAAATCAAAAAGTTGGGAATCGGCTCGAAAAGAATATGAATTATTTAGTCATCGTATTCCATTTTTATTCCGTTCAATGATTGTAGGCTTTGATCACTATTCTCTACCTTTCACTCCCCTCGTTCCGTTACGTTCGTCCTTTCCCTTTATTTTCGTTGAATTATAGGTACCAAATGGAAGGAATTAAATGGTTACTGCGCAACTGTATGGTGGGAATCTCTTCTGGAGGAATTCTGGGTGATGAAATGGGATTAGGAAAAACCATTCAAGCAGCTATTGCCGTTCTATGCTGCGACGAGGACTATCCTAGTTTAATTGTCACTCCTAAGAGTTTAATGCTCAATTGGAAAATGGAAATCCAAAAATTCATTCCAGCTGATTCTGTGAATGTTGTCTTGTATTTTGATCCATGAAATCATATGAATCTCGTAGATTCAGCCCAACATCTTCAACGCACGATCAAGTGATTGAACACATTACATCTGCAAGTAACTCAAAAACGCTAGTAATAACCTCTTATCCCATTATTCGCAATGAACTCACTAAGAATCGTTCACTATTATCTATTCACTTTTCGTGTTGTGTGCTAGACGAGGGGCATTTCATTCGGAATCATACTTCACAACTTCATCAAGCGATTTGTAAAGTTCAAGCTAATCATCGAATTGTCCTCTCGGGAACACCGATCCAGAATTGTTTGGAAGATATTTACGCCATTTTCCAGTTTATTGCCCCAAGCTATTTTGGGGAGTACGATCATTTCTATGATTATTACATTAAACCGATCGCACAGGCATACCACAGAAAGAACCGGACACTAACAACGCGCGCGAATGAACGAATCGAAGCGCTAAATCAGGCAGTTCGTCCCTTCTTGCTAAGGCGAACAAAGGATGATGTGCATCTAGAATTACCGGAGAAAATCATCTCTGATGTTTTGTGTCCTATGACAGAATGTCAGGACTCTGTGTACGGATTATACTTATATATATTTATATAATGTAGTTTGAAAACGTTTCGACAGTGGATCAATTCTCAACTAGCTGATGAAACAGCGAGAAATCAAATTTTACAGCAAAGTATCGCTATAGCGACTCACCCTGCTCTTTGCTCTTTTTTAGAATCATTCTAGTATATACTTCATTCTAAGCTCTTTATGTGCGTTGTAGTCTATCTCCCTTTATATCGAATAAGCTCCAAAGTTATTCTTGCTCAGGAAAACTTGTTGCGCTAAAGTTTTTAATCGAGAAGTTTTTATGCATGGGGGAATTTGCCGAATCAAACGAGACGGCATCTCGTTGCAAAATAGTCATTTTTTCGCAAAAGCCGAGATGTCTGGAGATCATTGCGTCGCAACTTTTAGATCTCTATTCGAATATCCATTTTCTAACAGTCACTAGTGAGCTATGTGCCGAAAAGAGAATGGAATATGTGGAGCACTTCCAAACTGATAATGAAATCTCTATTCTCTTGGCTACCACAGGAATTTGTGGACATGGCTTTTCACTCACAGCTGCCAGTGTTGTCATTTTAGTTGATCATAACTTTAACCCTTATGTGGACGTCCAGGCGATTGATCGATGCCATAGGATTGGACAAAAGAATGCAGTGATGGTATATCGCTTAGTCAGCAATGAGCCCAACGAAGAAAGGCTTATGAAGTACTGTTATGCATTCAATTATAACCCTTTAGTTTACAAAGGTTTAAGGAATTTATCGCTACAACCATCATTAAGACGGACAAAAGGGATAGAGAGAAATCGGCAGTGATAAGTGAGTTAGCGAGTCAGCTCAATACTGATTGTCAGAAAAAAGTAAAAACTAGTTGAAATAATGTACTTTTGTTTGTAATATATACTAGTTTTTACTCAATGGAAACTTCATCGGTGGAATTAGATAATTTACTTGTGTCTATTCTGCAAGATTGTTATCAGTATATATCTCTAAAGAAAGAGTTCTACGACATCTTTTCTGATGTGAATATATGATGATGGGTTAACACTTAGGGCGTTTTTGATATGTCTGCTGACTCGATATTGAAAGGAACTATGTCCTTTACCAATGTTAGTGCTATAATGGAATTAAAGCCATGCTTTATACTGTATTTTTGGTAACATTTTAATATTTATAGAAAAGAAAACGGAGAAAATTGTCTCATCACAACCCCTACCCCAAATGCGATTGGTACGGGAGCCAGAAGTGATACAAAGACTTCAGAAGATGAGCTTCGTCAGCGGAAATCGAAAGTGCAAGATTCAGAGAAGAGTGGGGAAGACTGGGAGGAGCCAATGGCTTCGGATGATATTCAACTACAAAAGAAGATTGAGGAATATAAAAAGGACCCTCTGTGCTTACTATCAGCCTTTCCTACTCCTCGTCAGCGAAAAGCACAGAAGACTATTCGAAAGAGTACATTTGAAAGTGTGATTGTTCTAATATTAATTAGGTCTCTCCAAGTTAGCAGAGTTGTGCACATTACAAAGAAAACTGGAATCTAGTATCGCGTATTATGAGAGTTTGTGTCATCAGAATTGAATATTTATGCATGTTTGTGAAAATGAAAGTAATGGAGAAAATAGACTCAAATTCTGGAATGCCTAAAGAGGCTATAATTTCTGTTTTTGTAAGATCTTATTAATTCTTGACTTTCACCATGTTCAAGCGTATGATGAAAATTGCCCTCGGTAGCGAGGTCGACAAATCGTATATCGTTGAAGAAAAACCGGTTGCAACTGGAGGACCTCATTTTTGCTGGAGGGTAAACCCCTTTATGAAAGGAGATTATCGTGTAGATTCATAACGCTGTTCGTAGAGCAACGAATGAAGAAGTCTCTGTGTTTTACTTCAAGGAAAGCTTTCTTACTCCAGAAGATAAACCTTTCAAGAGCGATTTCTTCTATCTATTGCATCAGGACATAAAAAAGATGACTATGTACCTACTTAGTGATGTTGTAAACGACTAGGCTTCGACATCCCTACACTCTTAAAGTCATTGAGGTTATGCCTGAAAACCCCAAGGAGATCGTTTTTGTAACGGAACGTGTGACTTGCTCCCTTGCAAACATGTGTAACAACTTTACGAATCTGCCGGTAGATTCAATTCCGAAGAGTATTAAGGAGCGTACTCTTTCCCAGTTTGAAGTTACGTGTGGTCTTGTTGTTTTTTTGTGATCTCTTGTAATTGGTATAGATTCATGTTTGCGAAGCTTTAATCTTTATGCATGATACCGCGAAGATGGTGCATCTGGATCTATCTCCTGAAAACATTTGGATTACTCCTGATGGGTCTTGGAAACTGGCTGGCTTCGGATTTTCGCTTTCTCCTGATGTGGGTAGCACGCGTTATTTACTTGATTGTGGGACAGTGGTATGTTTCCTTCTCAAGTGTTGACTTTCAGCCTGCCACCCGCTATGCCGCCATTCCAGATATGAACTACTCGGCTCCTGAGCTGAGTACACAGCCTGGAAACTTCAGCACAGCGTCGGATGAATGGTCCTTAGGCTGCCTCATCTGGGAGTTATTCAGTTTGGGTGTGGAAGCAGATGGAACGACCCAAAAGTTGGTCAAGGTCGATGATGGCAATCCGCTAACGCATGCGTACCAAGTGCAGAATCTGCAGCCTATTGCAATGGATCGGGTCCCCGAAATGCTCCACTCTTGCCTCACAGCACTATTGAGTTTGGATCCGTCACGTCGTCCCTCTGCCGCGAGAGTGAAGGATTGTCCTTATTTCAGTAGAGGACCTGTCCAAACCATGCGCCAGCTAGAGAATTTGTTGCAGATGGATGAAGCTCATCAGAAAGATGTGTTGAAGAATCTACAGGCGTCATTGGTCCACTTCCCTACTCATCTGCTAGTCTCTATGGTAATTCCGAAGCTCGCAGAGGTTTCGAATATTACCGACTTTGCCAGTGATTTGCTTCCATGTTTGTTGTTCATTGGAAACAAAGTGGATTCGACTGTATTCAACACCAAGATTGTTCCTGCCATGATTCCTATGATCACGCTTTCGTCTCCTCCTGAATTGGTTACCCAATGTTATTCAATTCTCCTTAAACAGTTAGACATGATTCTGGAAAAGGGAGATAATACTTTCAAGAATAAGTATTTCTTGCCTATACTGGGTCGTTGCTTGAATAGTGGATACAAACAGCTTCAATTGCCTGTTCTGCAGGGTCTTGTATGAGTTTCTCTTGTTGTTTAATGTTTAGGATAGTGTCGTTAAGGCGTGTGATAAGGCACGCATTAAGGAAGTAGTAATTCCAAAGTAAACTATTCGATTCTGTATTGAGCATTAGGATCCAAAAGGTGATTCTTGAGTCAAAGGAAATAGATCTTCGTATTTTGGGAGTTAAATGTCTTGGAGGACAGCTTGAAATCTTTACGAATAGTGAGATTCAATCAGAAATCCTCAATACGTATAAAATGGTCTCAATCCTGATTATGTCTAACTAGTAGCTCTTGGCAGAAGAACGAGATCCCCAATTAATGGTCGCAGTTACCCACTCTTACACTCTCATCGGTAAAAAGTTCGGTGTTGCGGTTATAGCCCAAACGATTCTTCCAAAGGTGACATATCTTTTAGCAGAAAAAACACTTGATGGAGAGCAATATGCTGCGATGCTTGCTGATATTGAGGAAATGTTACAGACGATTACTACGCTTCGGCAGCCTGAGTTTGCAAAGAAGGCAGAAGAAAAGGCGAAGAAAGAAGAGGAAGAAAAGAAAAAGCAGGCCCTTTTACCGCCAAAGCCACCAAAACCTCAGGAGGATATGTTTGGAGGAATGGATTCTCAGCCTGTTCCTAGTGGAGGCGATATGTTTGGAGGAATGGATTCTCAGCCTGCTACTGGTGGAGGCGATATGTTTGGAGGAATGGACAACAAACCTGCTACTAGTGGAGGTGATATGTTTGGAGGTATGGACTCTCAGCCTGCTACTGGTGGAGGCGATATGTTTGGAGGAATGGACAGTAAACCCGCTAACGATTTTGGAGGAATGTCAATGGGCGGCGACATGTTTGGAGGAATGGATAGTAAGCCTACCAATGACTTTGGAGGCATGGATAGTAAACCCGAACCTGCTAAACCTGCCAATGACTTTGGAGGCATGTCAATGGGTGGTGATATGTTTGGAGGAATGGACAACAAACCTGCCAATGACTTTGGAGGCATGTCAATGGGCGGCGATATGTTTGGAGGCATGGATAGTAAACCTGCCAATGACTTTGGAGGCATGTCAATGGGCGGCGATATGTTTGGAGGAATGGATAGTAAGCCTACCAATGACTTCGGAGGCATGGATAGTAAACCCGCTAATGACTTCGGAGGCATGGACAACAAGCCTGAATCTGCAAAGCCTGTTAATGACTTTGGAGGAATGTCAATGGGTGGTGATATGTTTGGAGGAATGGATAGTAAACCCGCTAACGATTTTGGAGGAATGTCAATGGGTGGCGACATGTTCGGAGGCATGGATAGTAAGCCTACCAATGACTTCGGAGGCATGGATAGTAAACCCGAACCTGCTAAACCTGCCAATGACTTTGGAGGCATGTCAATGGGTGGTGATATGTTTGGAGGAATGGACAGTAAACCTACCAATGACTTTGGAGGCATAGACAACAAGCCTGAACCTGCTAAACCCGCGAGCGACTTTGGAGGCATGTCAATGGGTGGCGACATGTTCGGAGGCATGGACAACAAGCCTGAACCTGCTAAACCTGCCAATGACTTTGGAGGAATGTCAATGGGCGGTGACATGTTCGGAGGCATGGATAGTAAACCCGCCAATGACTTTGGAGGCATGTCAATGGGCGGCGATATGTTTGGAGGAATGGACAGTAAACCCGCTAATGACTTTGGAGGAATGTCAATGGGTGGTGACATGTTCGGAGGCATGGACAACAAGCCTGAACCTGCTAAACCTGCCAATGACTTTGGAGGCATGTCAATGGGTGGCGATATGTTTGGAGGCATGGATAGTAAACCCGCTAATGACTTCGGAGGCATGTCAATGGGCGGCGATATGTTTGGAGGCATGGATAGTAAACCCGCTAATGACTTCGGAGGCATGTCAATGGGTGGTGATATGTTTGGAGGAATGGATAGTAAGCCTACCAATGACTTCGGAGGCATGTCAATGGGCGGCGATATGTTTGGAGGAATGTTCTAGTCGGTGTTTCTTAACAAACAAGTGGACCAATAGATTTATTTGCGATTTTTCCTTCCCCTTCTGTAACGATTCAAGGACTTATCCACAACTACTTTGTGCGCAGGCTCGGGATTCTCGCTTCTTTTCTTTGCATCATACTTGTCCATTTCTGCTTGAGACACATGTTCTCCCTGTGCTCCCACTCCAGTAATGCTCACTGTGTTCTTCTTACGTCTTCGGTTGATCGTACGATCTTCCTTTGCAAGCCAGCGTTCAGGATCCAAAGTCGATGGATCACGGTATCTTCCAGTCTCCTTTAACTTCTGCACAAACTTGGCGGTCTTTCGCAGACGTTTCTTCTTATTCAATCGATTCTTCTTCTCGGCATTCTACTATTTCATTCTAGCAAAATAAGGGGTACAATTTTCCGAACGTTTCCGATGTCCATTGCTGGCTCCGTGTTCTCTGTCTCCATAGCATTTTCTTGAATGGACGGAGTGGGTGTGTGTTTCAGATAGTCGCGCCTGCAAAGCATTTCTTCCAACTTATCCATGTCCACATTCTCTAGGATGCCAACTTCAGGCAATTGCACAGATAGACGGATCGCTTCTTCGGGAGCAGAATGAGAAGCAGCCAGCACAAGACGAGAAATAATCTCAATTCGACTTTGAGCGTCCAAAGTGGGATGCTCCAAAAGAGAACGCAGTTGGGTCGCTGCCAAGTCGTACTGGTGGGTGTCAAAGAAGTATTTAGCAGTGGCTTGGAGAGAATCGACTTGCTGTTCTTCCGATACTGAGATTGCTGAGCTTACCATCGACTGAATCAGACTACTATCAACAAAATGCCCAATGCCTACGTATCCACTTCTTTCTGGTCCTGAACATGGCGGCAGACAGCATAGAACAGCGACTGCAACCCCGAAGTCCGTAGCAACTCAGCAGGGCATGCGGCAATGGCAGAAAGTGCTTCCGTATAGCGACCTACAATATAGCACAAAGCTGGCGAGCAAACGTTGATTCAGCAAGGCCTGGATGAGTAACAAGCACAGATCCGAGGATGGTTTCTGCTGTATCGCCGCTTGAAGCTGTTTAATAGCTTCGTCTTCCTTGCTGTGAGAAAGAAGATCGCAGCTCTTCAGAACAGTCACACTTGCGGGGGACGAACTCTGCATTTCTTCCAGCACTCCCTCGAACTCCTTCCGCTATGACTCACTGCTTTCCAGCTCTGTTACCCGATTCAATAGGAGCAAAAGGACAGCAATGTTAAACTGGATAGCTGATCGCTGCTGCAGCGTGAGCTTCTTTATCACATCGGCAGGGAAAGACTTCAGCCTAAGTATATTACTCGCTCGCGATTCGCCATACCGCTTTAAACTATCTGCAGCTTCTTTTGAACCTCTGCATGCTGCGAGATTGCAAGTCGCAATCGAAGCAATGATCTTGCTAATACCGTGATGACTCAGCACCGCGAGGATTTCCTTCTCCGCCTCTTCGTTTTTACCACGGGCAATCTTGATAAAAGCGAGTTGAATGCGAATAGGGTCTAATTCAGGCTCATCGCTCGAATCTTCCTCCACGTCCACTTCTAATTCGCCTCCTTCACGCAGCTGTTTGCGACCCAAATGAAGAGCCTGCGTCAGCGTATTCTCAGCCTCGTCCAATCGGCCAAGATAAAGGAGGAGGGTACCGTAATTGTAGAGAACCTCATAGCTGTTGCTTGCCTAGACATTATGATTCGAGAGAAACAAGACCTTCGATTTCTCCAAAATCATCGCTCCTTCGTCAAGATGGCCACTTAAGAGAGCCGCTGCAGATACGTTTGTTAAGTACTCGTAACCCTCCTACCAATAATACACTCACCTTCAAAAGTCACAATGCCAGTCATCTCTTGATAGAGTTTCAAACTCTCCTCATAGTTCTCAAGACGATAAAAAATCTGGGCCTTCAGGAGTTTGGAGTTAACATCCTCTTTTCCTCGCTTGTTCAACTGTTCAAGAGCCGCTTCGAACTATATTTACATTTCAAAATCACCACAATACCTTCTGCTCCAAATACAAGCAATAGGCATGCTCAAGTTTGAAATCATGAGCCGAATTATTGATTACTTCAATAGCTTGATTATACTATTTGCTAATCGAAAGAAGGAACTAGCATACCTTCCCCATATTAATATAGCACACAATTTTGCATTTCTGTGCGTCAACATCATCAGGGAGAACATTAAGGACTATGCAATAATAATAGATGGAACACAAAATACTTGAGCGGCAGGAGTCAAGAATTGATTTAGAATCATCATTACCTATAGCAGCCACTAGTTTCTTGAACAATGGGACTGTATCGATTTTCTACATATGATCGCTAATCACAGTGAAGAGAAAACACTATCGCTCATTTAAATCAATTTCTGATAGAGGGATAACGAGAAAATTGGAATGCTTTATTCTCCAAAAATAGTCACTATTATGATTACTCTTCCAGAGAAAACCAAAAAACGAAACAATTGTGTACATTGGTCGAATCTAAAATCTAGAGTACTTAATTTTGGGTAACTAGAAACGTATAGCAAGTGTGTATTGACAACATGTGGGGGAAGCTGATTGCTGACAAGAGGATACTCAAATAAGTGGCAGTACTCTTCGATTTAAGTATTTTGAAAGTATGACATCATGTAGATATATCGAATTAACGCGAAACAAGTCAAATCAAACGAAATCAAATCAAATCAAAATAAAGGGGAAAAGCCAGTTTCCACTAAATAACACAAATACACTCCTCCTATCTTTTTGAGACAGATTCTTTGTTAGTGAAATTATGGATACAAGTTATGGTATGTGTCTCTCTATAGTTTGATTATCAAGGTGAGGATGCCACGTTGACTACTGGCACCTGTCGAAATATGGAATATGATATTTCTGAATTGTATAACTTGAATGAGTCGAATCAAGGTTCCAAATTGTTAATCTGTATGATTGGTCTGAGCGGCTGCGGAAAAACGTGTGTTACTTGGAAAGCACCTGAAAATTAGTTTTGTGGCACATCGGATCCACAAATTCCTGACCTGGAAGGGTTACAATGCTAAAGTAATTTCCTGCGCTGAAGTTCGTTCAAAACATTTCCCTGAGTATGCTTCTCCATTCCCCGAGTTTTTTAATGAAGAATGCTCCAAGGTTTGAAAACGGTCTTTATTTAACTGATAGTATGTTGATTTACGTGCTAAGTGTGTTGACCTATCTTTGCAAGAAGCAGTGGAATATCTAGAAGGTGAAGGCCAGATCGCGATCTTTGATGGTTCAAATCTTACAAAGTCCCGTCGTGAGCATATAATGAACGTTGTGAAGGAACATGTTTTCACAGAGTCGTTTGATAATGGATAGCCCATCATAAGTTCTCCAATCTGGATTGAAATGCGTCTACCAAACAATGAAATGGTGATGAAGCGCTTCGATAAGAATAAACTACAAAGCATGGAGTACCTCGGCTATGATATGCAAAAAGCTAAAGCGGAGCACTTTAAGCGAATCACATATCAGCGGAAAAGGTAGACTTAACTTTCCGTTCGAATTTAGTTACGATCCACTAGAAAACGATCCTTACGTCTATTGTATCGTGGAGTTTGGCGAAGGGGACAACAAACGCTATTTGGTGAACAATATTCGAGGATATCTTCCCACCACAATCATTTCTTTTGTGATGAATCTTCACCCAGAGGCGCGTCCGATTTACTTTTCACGTCATGGCCAGTCCATGTACAACGTAGAGGATCGAATTGGCGGCGATTCTTCTCTAACCGATTATGGACTGCAATATGCGGAGAAGCTGGGGGAGCGTGTGGCTACGATCGACGAGCTTCCTCCTGACAAGCTGGTTGTGTGGACGAGCTGTCTGAAACGAACGCAGGAAACGGCGCAGTTTATTCAATGCAAGTATCGTGTTCGCTGGCAGGCGTTGAACGAAATCGGCGGGGGTGTTTGCGAAGACATCACATACGCCGAGATGAACGAGCGATACCCCGAATTAGCGGGGCTTCGGCGTAAAAACAAGCTGACTTTCCGGTATCCGCAGTAGGTTGATTGGGTCGCGGAACGAGAAATAGAGGGGAGAGCTACATCGATATTATCGAAAGATTGCAGCCTGTTATCTTCGAATTGGAGAGAAACACGAATCCAATCATCGTCGTGTCCCATCAAGCGGTCTTGCGATGTCTTCTTGCCTATTTTATGGATATTCCTCGGAATAAGATCCCTTATATATCCTTCGAATTGCTGAGCGTTGGCTCTTAACACTTCACTATAACATCCCTTTCCATACTCTTATTCGTCTTATACCTCGAGATTGTTCCTATGATGAAGAACGAATGCCCCTTCATCCGCTGAATGTGTATGATACTATTCCAGAGCAGATGAAGGAAATGGAGGAGCAACGCCGTTCACAGAAAAAGAAACTAGCTAGTAGTTAGCTTGTAGTTGACTGGTAGTTGGCTAGTGTAGTAGAACATAACTATTTGCTTGTTTCTATCAAACATGACAAATTGATGAAATAAGAAGGGACAACTCCTTATACTGCTTCTCAACAGCCAATTCCTTGATTCTCTAAGCCATGATCATCACTCCAGATCCCTTTACTCTCAACTGAAGTTCAAACTGTGTAGACTTTTCTCTCAGCTTTGAGCATTCTTCCATCACTTCATTTAGCTGTTGTTCAAGAATATGCTTGTTTTGAAGAACTACAAAGAATATTAAAATGCCGATTCGAATAGCCTACGTTGACTCTTTACCATGCTTAGCTCGCTGTTCTCATTCTCGAGGGCTTTTAACCTGTTATCTAGCGAACGAGCTATATGGCCACGATCGTTTAGAACATCCACACATCGAGTCGATTCATTCTATCAATAAGAATCTATCGCAAACCAAAAATGATACTTGACCGCTTTCATAGGATTTCAAACGACGCAACAAGTTTTCATTTTCTTTGAGCAGCATAATATATTCTTCATTCTGACTTAACGAGCTTGGCTCTGGCTGTTTCTTTTCCTAAAAACTATATAATTTCTATTCTTCCTACATGACGCAGAAGAAATACTTCGCGATTCAATTGCTTATTTTTAGTAGACAAGACTTCTCGTTCCTTTTGTGCTGTTGCTGCTGCATTGGTGGCCTCTTCCACCTTTTGTTGGAGACTGCGCAGCTGAGTTTTTCCGTATTCAATCTTCTGGTGAATGAATGAGTGCAATTCTTACCAATGAATTTTGTTTAGAAAGAGTTTGCTGCTTGCTATCCAACTCTTGTTGAAGATGCTCCAGTTGTGAAGAAAGAGTTGAGATGCGTTCATCCATTTGAAGCTTGAACTCCGCTTGCTTCTTTTCCCAATTTGTTTTTTCCGTATAAAACTCTTCCTCCTTTTCCTTTAGTAGTCGTTCCTTTTCGAGAGCATCCTTTTCCCGCTCTTCTTTCAAGTGATTTATCGACTCACGTAAACGAGCACTCTCAGCTTGGAGTACCTGAGTCAGACTACACATAATACAAAAGATCGAGTTAGACTTTTTCTCATTTTCCAATTTTGTTTCGTACTCCAAGCGAGCTTGACGCTCCTTATCGAAGTCCTCTTGAATATGTTGATATTCACTGTAATTCAAACACATAATATGAAATAAAAAACGTCTCAAGCTGTCTGATCCTTTCTTTAAGACCATCATTTTGCTGAACGATCTCCAGTTTTTCTCGGACTAGGTCTCGATAACTCTATATTATATGACCAATTCTCTGAAGGATATCATACCTTTTCCAACGCCTCCATCTGTTGGCTCAAGACCGCGACTTCCGTTTTGGTTTGTTGATTTTGCTTGTCATGCTCCAAGGCATGTACACGTTCCTCCAGTTTATCTCGCTCTTCCTGAATCCTTCTCAGTTTACTTTGTCTATAGAATGAGCACGTACATTCAAATCGAAAACAGTTCGGGGTTCTTTTCTAAAAGAGGAATTAGACTGCTGTCCTCTTGATACGTGCGCTTCAAGGAAGATTCGTTCATTTCGATCATGCTCTCTTTCAAAACCTGGCGTAACCGAGATGCTTCTGCTTCGCTTCCTATCTTAGCAGCACGGAGAGTCTCATTCTCATTCACAATCTGCGAATATTTGGCTGCGAGTGTTTCGTTTGCCCTCTTTTCAGTATCAAGCTGACCCTGCAGATTCTGCATGTCGATTTGCATTTGAACAAAGTCTAATTCTGTTTTTCTTAAGCGTGCAAGTTCATTTTTTAGTTGATCAACATCTTTGCACTGTTCTTGTAGTTCTTTGGCTTTGGCTTTATACTTTTCTAATTGCATCGAAGTCTTTATTCCTTGCTCTTGTTGATGGCTCAGCGCTTCATTCTCTTGACGAAGCATTTGTAATTGAACTTGCTGCTTTTCGTAATCCTCTCGTATTGAGTCAGAGGATGCTAGCGACTGTTTCATCTTTGCGATCTCTTTCTGCATTTCTTGGATTTGTTGGATTAATTCATCGTTGCGAGAACCTTCCTCTAATAAACGATTTTCATAATCATGCGTTTTCTGTTCCTACTATTAATCATGATTGGTTTTATTTCTTACGAGTTGCTGTTGGGATAATTCATAGTCCTTCTTCAATAGTGCTAATTGTTCCTTTATTTGGGTATTCTCATCTTCCAGAGATTGGAGTTCCTTGATCATAGCATTGTCAGGTTTATCCGTTCCACCTGAAAATTCCTCGTATATTTTCATTAATACTGACTGGTATGATTCAGAAAGTTGGAGAATAGGAGAAATGTATCTATGTGACAGACCTAGAGTACTACTACGTTTGCGGATCACGAGTTGCCGCAAAAATATAAAGAACCTCACAGTACTACATTAGAACGCCATAGAATCCATACTTCTAGCAATTCATCTCTGTCAACTTGCTCGTTTTGCTTTTTCTTTTCAACGAATACTTCGATCTATCATTCATATTTCATCTTTCTATGTACTCCCGTCTTTTCTTGGAGCTTAATACATAACTTGTTAAACAACTCTCTGGTCAAGGTTTCTTCTTTATAAATGGGAGTCTCACCAAATCTGTACATGAGTAGCATTAAGTAGATTAACATATTACACGAAAAAACGATCAGAGCGTCTCCTGACTGGAAATCAGTAATAGAATGAATTTCTGGATGAAAATAGTTGATCTCAATTTAAGAAAAGGACTCGTCAATACCCATGCGAGAAGAGCACTCTCTTTCAAATTCTGATCCATTTGCTACCGCGTTCTTATCAGAATTTCGTGCTTGAAAAACTCTTTTCAATACAGCGTAGGGTTTCTCAGCTCAAAATAATTATATATATAAAACGCTTTTCTTTTTTCTTCCTACTCTAAAAAGTGTATTCCAACAAACAAGATATAAAATAGAATCTTTTCCATCAAAGACTCTTCCGATGAACTCAATAATAAGCGAGCACAGTGTGCTCGTGCTGGCTGCAGCAGCAGCAAGTGCGTTAAAGGAACCATCCAACTGGTTTGTATCGAAAGGATATTCACTTCCTGATGAGAAGGTTCCACATAATCCGTATCATCCGGCATGACGCTCTATTTCTCACTCCAGCTTTTCTCTCTAACAATATTCGTAATCAGAGACACGGCAAAGACCTTGATTCCTAAGTGGCGTGCCGCCAAGACTTCATTGACCGTGCTCATCCCCGCAGCATCGCATCCAATCAGTCGGAAAAAGTGGCACTCCGCTGGGGTTTCATAGCAGGGACCCGACTGGCAGACATAAACTCCCTCCTGAAGGATCTTTTGCTGCCCTTGCGACTCCACCGTAGCGCGGAAAATCCTGCGGAGCTCGTCATCGTAGGCGTTGCAAAGCGAAGGGAAGCGAGTTCCCATCGACTCGTTATTGCGACCCACCTAACTCACACAGCACAGCCAACGATTACCAAAGGGTTGTTGCCAGATAGACCAAGGAAACTGATGTGATCCTTGATCATCATTAAGTCGCCAACATGGAAGCTACTGTTGATTCCACCAGCAGCATTTGAGAGAATCACCATTTCGATTCCCAAAGCCTTCATAAGCGCCATTGGGATGGCTGTCTGGGCAGGTGTGTATCCCTGATAAAAGTGATATCTCTTTCCCATGCAAACGCACGGAACTCCAGAGATAATTCCATAATAAACAGGGAATCTGTCATCTCCATCTCCGACTATGGTAAAAGCGATAAAAGAAAAGTACGATTCGAGCGATCATCCATAAGAACTTCCTTACAAAGATCCCTAAGGGAAACGTAACAAAATAGACTTACGTCAACTCAACCCGGTCTTGTAAAGTATTGCAGAGTGGACCAAGACCAGAACCACAGACGATACCTACTTTGGGAGGCTTTCCAACCACTTCCAAGCACTTTGCAGCAAGCGCCTTGCATTTTTCGAATGAATTCTACACCTTGATCAAAGATGAACTTCACTACAAAATATTCGTTTCCTTCTTCCATTATATCCAATAAATGCTCTCTACACCAATGAAAGATGGATCAACAGAGAATACGTTTCGCAATAAAGAAATATCTAGTATATCATTGAAACAGAGGTCGCTGTTATTGTTTTTTATTCTATTTCCTTGTATTACTTATAATCTCTTGTTACTAGTTCAGTGTTGTTCTGCTCTAAGAACCAACTAAGCATTGTGTAACATATCCTCTATTTATGAATCACGGAGTGTCCTAAACAGTCAGCTAACACTAGAAAGGCATGCAATACCCTAATATCGGAGTCGTTCCTGATGTGGCGATTCCCTACGTTACTCAAGCCCAACAAACTGAGCAAGATGGTAAAGGCGATAACCCAGATTTGAAGCAAGAAACGAAGCCCATAGACACATCTACCCAACAAGGCGGGCCTTCTCAAAGTGCAGTTGATCACAATGTTTCTGCGTATATCAGGAGTGTTCTCGTGATACATAGTCCCGAAACAATTGCAGTTCTTCAAATGAAAAGAACGCTTCTCGGAATGTTGATAGATCTTATTCGGAGGAATCACCAGATGAAATTAAAAGATATTGTGTATGAATTCCAACGAGTTTCAAGCCTAGAGAATACATTAACAAGAATAAGGAGAATTTGATTCGATTAGATGGTAGAAAGTATGTCGGATCGACGGACCGAATCGTATCGGGAGCACTGTATTCATGGAGTGAGGTCATCCCAAATAGCTATTCTTCCAATGCGTTTGTTCAAATAGGTCACAGTATTTGGTCTCTCAATAACAAAATCGCTAGCGAAGTCGAAACGGACATTTACGAGCGCTTTCTTTCTCGCGAGCGGCATCGAAAGCGAAAGCGACGCGCGACGCGCGGCCTGCGTAGGTTTCGAGGTGGATCGTCAACGAAGGAGAGCCGTTCAATCCAATGAGTCTAACCTGCTCGCCGGAACAAATGGAACTCTGTCTAACCCGCGTTCTTCGCGACATTCGGCAGGAATCCGGAGTGACGAAGCCGCTGGATTCTGGGTTGGTGCAGTCACATCCCTTGGGAGAGACGCCGGAAAATGGAGAAGAGGAGAAGGACGATCCATTTTCGTTTTTGCAGCAAGATCTCTTTGAGAACGCTTCCCTCCAAGATTGCGAAAATGAGATGAAAGAAAAGCTGGGAGACGAGGGATTTTGCTTTGTCATCCAGGTATCTGGCCCGAATTTCCTGTCATTCGCTTAGTTTTTCAACTTCTTCCGTGAGTATCTGACGCATCCCACCGAAATGGCTGCGCGAACGCTCTCCAAAATTGACTCGGTTCTTCAAGAAATTCAAAACGACTCGCAGAAACCTGCGCCATCGATGGCTTCTTCCGGAATGTCAATTATGCCGCAGCCGATGAGCGTAGACATCGGCGAGTCCGGCGTTTTCGACATTTCGAAAGCGCGTCGTGCGTCTATCCAGGATACGGATGGCCTGTTTAATGAGAGAGAACTCAATTTGAATCTGAGTATTGGACTTCCCAACGAACTGTCGAACTACAATCAAATGTCCAATATGCCGACTATCCATTGGAGCTCGCAGATGAATAAAGAGACTTCTGCACAGTAGGATTCGATTGGATAGTTTTATGCAGATCAATTCCCATCCCTTCGAACTCGCAGTCCAATCAGTACTTCTCGCTATCGATGTTTCCTTCGATGGCGGCTAATATGCCTAGTAATATGATTAGTCAGTTGAGTCATGGGATGTACGAAGTGGGGGCGACCAATAATGATCTTGTGGAAAAAAATATCGATTCTTCAAGCCGTCCCAATGAAGAGGAGCATGCATCTTTGTATGTTTGTTGTATTAAGAATACAGTGATTGATCGTGCTGTCATACACATATCTGGAGTTGCTATTGCGGATGAAAAGCGTGTGTGCATTGGGAGAAAGTCACTGCAACTCGATTTGCAATCGTAGGGAATGTATATATCTCAAACAAGCAAGTCCCTTTTATACCTTTTTAGCAACCACATTATCATAAAATGCAATATCCTCTAAAACTTCCTTTAGTAGTTTGGGATTTCGTCCATTTTCCTTTAGAATCTCTGCCAATCTCACCAAATCATCGCGAAGGGAAAGTGGAATAAGAAGGGACTTTTGAAGGGCAGACGAATCGACTTGCGACGCGTTTTGCTGGGAGAGAGAGTTTTGATTAAGCAGGTTCTATATGGTCAAATAAAATACGAAGAATACGATCATCTTTTCTTGCTTTTCTTGCTTTTCTTGCTTCTCTCTTTCTTGCTTCTCCTTCTCTTGCTCCATTTTCACTTCCTGATGCGCTCGCTCTTGTAATTTACGATAAATCGCTTCCAACGCATCTTTCCCACTCGGATAAGTCACCTACATTCAACCAAACGCAGCAGTCTAACATCTCCCACTTTGATTTCGGCGGGTTTCTTCGGATCAATGACTCGGGCAGAAGACGAGGCCGAAGCACTGCAAGTATTCGAAGAGAACACTTGCTCAAGATGAAGTTCGTGCTTGCAATCATCCAAAGGAGTTGGTTGCACTGCGCACTGATACTGACTGATTTTCTGGCGTCGTAATACAACCAAAACACATGTGCATAAGACGAAAATGCTGAATGCATAAAGGATTCTCGTGTACAATGGAAGCGGCAAGAGCAGAGCTGCGAGGACCACAGCAAAAACTCCCAAGATACTACTCCAAGAAACGGAAAGATCCGGAACGTCATTCGAATATTTCTTATATAACGCCAATTCATCCGAAGACAATAAACCTTGAATCAGACAAAGCTTAAGCAATTGCAAAGAAGAGGTTCGCAACTAGACGATTTAAACCACACTATAATGCAACATTCGGACAGAGTGAAGTGGTAGGTTGTTCCAAAATCGCAAACATATAGCTTTTTAAATTTGTCACAGAATCGCGTTCACAACGATCAAACATTGCCATCTCATTTCGTAAGAGAAGGATGAGAATGTTGTTCAATAATTCATATCCATAGCATGAAGAGAAATTTCTAGTAGAGAATAATTCGATAGCATATGCAGCCGACTCGAAAATATCACAATTGTCATTCTAGGTTTAAATCCCTCGTTATATTCTTACCACTTTATTCTCTTTGATGTTATCACTGAATTGCTTCAATTTAGAGAGAACCTCTTTCTCTTCTGTACAATTGAGGAGGAGAATGTTCAGACGAGACTACAAAGCAATAAGAAAGGATCCAATTAACATAGTAGGGCGCTTACCATAATAAATATTAAAATATCTGAATAAATAACCCGCTTGGCACTACACTAAGATTCGTTTTTCAAAGAAACAAAGCAGGATAAAGTACAAACCCAAAACTGACTTAGGAATGTTGTGGCAGTCTAAAAAAATCGACTGCGTGCAGCATTTGTTTGCTTTTGTTTGCCCTTTTCTCTCTTTGTAGACTCATAAGAAGAACAGTCTATATTTACTCCACAATAATAGCGCCTTTCCTTTATGGGGTTCAATTTCCGTTTATATCTAGGCGATATGAGTGATATATCATTAAAGTGCGAGGCCCAGTTATCTCTTTGAATCTCTTCAGAAAAATCAGATTCCTATCCATTTAAAACAAAAACACAATATTTACAGTAAATGAAACCGCACTTGCCACTACCACCCCTCCACTACAAATATTTGTGAGAAGAATCGCACAGAGGAAGAGAAAACCTAATTCATTAAAACACACAACAGAGACAACGAATCAACCTCATCAGCGATGTATCTCAGAAACTAAAAACACACTAGTCTAATTAAATATATATAAATCAGGTGATGTTTGACCATTCCATATCGCAAAAGTGGTTCCTTGATCCTTGATTACCAAGACGTTAACTACACAAGCTTAAACTTGCAACAGAAAACTTGAACAGTTTATCTGGTCGAAGTGATTGTAGCTACACCCCAGATCCAACCGTCACCTATTTTTTAAATCGCAGTAGATGGTAAAGAGAAGATATTTTTCAGGCAAAGATATCTAGTATTAGTAATATATAGACGATGACAGTGATGAAGACGCTCTTTCCCCCTCTTCTCAGCAATATATATCAAAAAGAAGCAAGACTAACAATCTAAGCAATGAAAATGCACATAGGAGCGAAAGTTCTTCATTTTTTCAGGGAAAATGCTCCGTCTGTGAAAGTAGTACTCCTCCGCTATATTCTTGCCTAAAATGCCAGCAATTGTTCCACAGTTATTGCGGCAATTTTCGGGTGGAGAGTGAAAAAACTGGAATCTGTGGAGATTGTCTTTTTTCTGTACATTTGTTGTTTCGGTACTATGCAGATCATATTAGAGTGTCCATGCTGTCACCAGCGCGGATTTAAGGGTACTCATGGGTTACGTACACACATTGGTGGCTACTGCAAGAAGCAGCACGCCAAAGATTGGAGACAACATTTCAAAGAGTTCTTTGCTCAGCTCCAGCAAGAATTGGAGAACATTTCAAAGCGTGATATAAGTGCTTTGTCCATCATTCGTTCGCATCGACAAATGGCGAACGCCGTGGCCAAGTTTGTAAGCCATTCTTCTCTTTTCTCTTCTGACTAGTATGGTTGCACCGATGATTGCTCTTCGAAGGATGCTGCTTCGAGTAATGACTATGAAAGCCACATGACCTTGCTGGACTACGTATTTTGTTTTCTTTCTTCGTGTTTGTAGATCAACCAGACCCAGCATACGAAAAACTCGGGAGATCGCAAGTCTGCTCGACACGTCTCCAGCACAGAGAAGTGGGTTCGATTGTTCTTTCTCATGCAGTTCTCTCTCCAATGCACGCGGCGCCTCGTCGACCTCCGCCTCCGCACAGCGCGGAAGCGGCGAGCCATCGGGTAGGCCGAAAGAGGAGGCGGGAAGCAATTATTCGCTGCGAAGACTGTCCAGCCAGTCGTCGCAGAACGGCGACGCGGCTACGAGTGGCGACGCAGCCTCCAAATTGACGCCTGCGCTGGACCGAGGGAATCTGCTGAACACGATTCTTTTGGATTGTCCGTTTTGCAAGAAGGCGGGATGCCAGGGACTGCCAGGAATCCGCACCCATCTGTGCAATTACTGCCAGAGCATCAATAAGAATTGCTGGAAGGAAGAGCGCATCGTGGGCGAGGAGGGAGCGAGTGACGAATAGAAATGTCTTCGATTCAATATCCAGAAGTACGAGAAGCTGAACAGCGTGCCTGGAGCAAATATCGAATACAACAACGCCGCGATCAGTCTTCTGAAAAAGAAGATTTTGGAGGCCGATCGCGCCAAAGATCGCGCCAAGAATCCTGCGTCCAAAACGAGCGGAGACGAAGGCAATAGTGCCGTCTCGAGCAGCAAGGCAGAGTACGAATCACCCATTTTGACTTTGACCACCTTGTAGATCCGCACTCATTGACACAGGCCTGATGAATTCCATCACCTATGACAAGGTGTATTGCCAGCATTGCCACGACGAAAATACTTACTGCCCTTTTTGTGGTTGCCATGTACTGCTGCTGGGAACGCTCCTTTGACAATAGACCTGCCATTACAAACACATCGCTCCGTTGTTACTCATTTGCGATAATTGTGAACGCGAACATCATCTGTATTGCATCGACCCGCCTCTGGAAACCATTTCAGATGATTCTTGGTACTGTCCGGAATGTCAGAAGAAGCTCTATAAAGAGTATATCAACAAGGACAGGAACTTCACGTTCTCTCTGCAATCTGTAAACTCGGAGACCCGAGAGGCGATCCAAACACTTCTGTCCTCTGTTCTGAGTACCACCACCAAACCCTGTGACCTTTCTTCTGTGCTGTCCTCCCTGTCAGTCCCAGAACTCCTTCAAATTCAATCTTGTATAAATATTAATGGAGTCAAGTCACTAATTATTAGATTTTTCCACTTGTATCAATCGTCTGTTTTATAGACTTCCTCATTTATTTGTTTGTTCGAATAATTCAGTATAATTAATGCAATTATTAATTTCACAACAATTAATACCTTTCCATTAATGAAAGTAATATTATTCAAATAGTAATCAATTCTTTTGAAATTAATTGGGAATAATTAATATCAGTGTAATATTCTTGATGCAATAATCGATTATAATTATTTAAAAACAATTTATGCATGTTTTGTAAAATACAATCATTTCCGTATACTATTTTCAACAAACAATCCACAAGTTGCTCATTTCTTCACTTTCAGCACAACATCAAGTTTAGTCCGCATATCCGTCGGGGTGCTTGTGCTGCCAGTTCCAAGCATCACGGCATGCATCCTCCAGGGTGTACTTCGCCTTCCAGTGCAACAACTTCTCCGCCTTATCTGTAACGGCGTAGGCATCTGGACGATCTCCAGCACGTCGTGGGCAGAGAACCTTCTTCAATTCGAATCCACAGGCCTTCTCCATCGCACGAATCACCTCGAACACCGAAGAACCCTTGCCCGTTCCCAGGTTAAACACGTCGTAGCCCTTGTAGCCGTTGCCCTGCATGTATTCCAGAGCCTTCACATGGCCTTCCGCGATGTCCATCACATGGATGTAGTCACGCAGACAGGTGCCGTCGGGAGTGTCGTAATCGGTACCAAACACGTTAATGTGGTCCTTCTTACCGATCGCCACCTGCTGCAGGTAAGGAACCAGGTTGGAGAGCAATCCCGAGGGATCTTCGCCCATATCTCCGGAAGGATGTGCACCGATGGGGTTGAAGTAGCGCAGAATCGTGATACACCACTCCGGATCCTGCTTGTACACATCGCTGAAGATTCGCTCCATCATGAACTTGGTCTCTCCGTACGGATGCTCAATACCCTGAAATCGAATGCACCAGGCAAGCTTACATGTCCAGTAGGCGTATTCTCGTCGAAGGGACAGGGAGCGTCTCCATAAACTGTGCAGGAAGAGGAGAAAACTGGGATGATGAAAATCCAAAGAAAAACCTACTCAAACGCTTCACGTTGTGCTTGCGCATCGCCTTCAACAGATTGATCGAGCCAGTGAGGTTGTTCTCGTAGTATTCCAGAGGCTTGCTCTGAGACTCACCGACATGCTTGTAAGCAGCAAAGTGGATCACCGCTTCAAAAGGTCCGAATTTGGTAAACACCTCATCCAGAGCAGCAGCATCCAGAAGTGAACACTACACATGACAATCTCCCACAAAACATACATTTGCAAACAGCAATTGTCCCTCTGCGGGTTTCGCTACCTTCTTGATAGCTTCAAAGCACCCCATTCTACCTCTCAGCCAAAATGGGCGAATACATACCTGGAATTCGATAGGTTATCCAAAATAGTCACCTTATAGCCGCTCTCGATGAGTGATACAGCAGTGTGAGAACCAATGAAACCATTGCCTCCTGCGAGTCAGCAAAATCCAATGTCGATACCAGTAAGTAAAATGTTTCCCTTCATATTCATACACTTTCGATCAAAGAAACAAAAAATGACTCCCCAAAGTCATTCGCGGTTATGCAAATGTTAGCTGATTTATCAAAAACGCAAATGATCAACAAAATGATGGAATGTTAGTATAATCTATTCTATTGTGAAAGACAAAACAGGTCTTCCATAGCTCAGTTGGTTAGAGCGTGCGGCTGTTAACCGCAAGGTCGACGGTTCAAGCCCGTCTGGGAGAGTTTCTTTTGCTCTAATAAGTTTTTTTAATTCAAAACTCTTTCGTGGAGAGGACGATGCATCTCAACACTCCCCGTCCTGTAATTTAAGGTTTAGAAAGAAGAACTTTCGATTTGAATGTAGCAACATCGGAATGAATAATCAAAGAATAGAAGGAGTTGATACAAAAATACAGTATATTTTTTTTCGGATTTTATTCCATATTCTGCCGTGATGATATCATGATTGGGTGGCAGTAACGCCTTTTCACTTTTATCACCAAATATAGTGGTTTTACAAGTAACGCCACTTTTCTTTCGCTTTTCTTCCACTAATCTGTCTGTTTATTGAAAGTGGAACTTGTAAATTCAAATTCCAAAAAAGCAGAGGAAGGGAAAGCGACATTGGAATTACCGGTTTTCCCGAGCATAAGTTTTGCGGAGTTGGTTAAACATGCCATCTCTTGTCAATGTGAATTTGGTAAGTGCCCTGTTCCTGGCTGCATCGTCACGCAGAAGGTTGCCTGTTTTCTCTCTCCAATTGCAGCGAAAAGAAGAAAACGAACCGAAACGCACATCGAGAACAAGAAACGGGCTCGAACTATGATGGATATACGAAAGAATGGTTCACATTCCACGAAGAGAGACGATTTTATTCATGTTGCTCCATCAAAAGGTGATTTCACTTTGATGCCAGTAGAATACTATCTGCCTCGTAGTGCAAGCTACAGTCCGTTATTGGATACGATGACTCGGAACCAGCTCATAGTTTACATCAAGTATCTGAAGTCTCGGTCGTTACAGATATATTACGGCCCGTTGATTCAGCTGTTGATGCAGCACAAAGACAACCATGGTATTTTTAACTCGCCTGTTGACCCAGATGCTGAGAACTTACCGACCTACTATTCCGTTATTTCGAAACCTATGGATTTGGGAACAATTCGAGATCGCTTAGCCAGCGGCGAGTATCAGACTCAACGTGATATCTTGAACGATATTTCCCTGGTGTTTAAGAACGCGCAGAAGTTTAATCCCCCAACCCACTTCGTATACTTGTGTGCTTCTTCCCTAAGCAAGGTTTTCGAAAGCGAGGTAGAAAAGATCCGAACTCGCATTGAGCAGAATCGTGTGAATCAAGCCAACCATTTCTGCTCTTCTTGCCGAGGAACGCCCTGTCGAATCTGCGGCGAGAAGTGTTTGAAGTACAGTCCTCCCGTGTTTGTTTGCGATGGCGATTGCCATGAACGAATCTTGCGAAACACGACCTACTACATCATCCGTGGACAGAAAGGACGGTACTGTCAGAAGTGCTATGCAAAGAAGATCGTGGGAATGGACAAAGCGGACCGCAAGAATCTATTCGTGAAGAAGAAGAACGACGAAGTGTTTCCGGAATCCTGGGTGCAATGTTCACGCTGCCACGAGTGGCTCCACTGTATCTGCGGCTTGGTTCATCCTCGCCAAGTCACCAACAACTACGTCTGTCCGATCTGTCTCTCGGAAGACCCGCGAAGAGAACCGAAGCCCGTCCAGGGAGCGGCTGCGATCCCGACCTGCCCGCTGAGCGAGTACTTAACAGAACAGGTGTATCAGCGTGTGGATCAAGTGGTGCAGAAGTTGCCGAAGCGCCTTCGCCCTACGGGGGCGGCGCTATCGCAACTCAAGCAGAATCTGATCGTGCGGGTCGTGAGCAACATCACGACCTCCGTGACGGTGAAGAAGGCCATCGCGCCCCTGTTTACTCCCGACTACTCCGACGAGCTCTCGCTGCCCTACCGGAGTAAGTGCATCGCGTTCTTCCAGCACCGCAACGGCGTGGATATTCTGCTGTTCGTGCTGTATGTCCACGAATTCGGCGAGAATACAACGCCTGCCAATCGTCGCTGCGTGTACATTTCCTATCTGGACAGCGTCCACTTCCTCTCTCCCCGCTATCTCCGCACTCCCCTGTACCATACGCTTCTCAACGGCTATCTGGCCTATGCGAAATCGAACGGGTATTGCCGCGCACACATCTGGGCATGCCCTCCTTCGCGCGGTGATGACTACATTTTCCCTCATCACCCCCGCGATCAGCGAACGCCCAACGCGGACCATTTGATTGGATGGTATCGCCAGTTGTTGGCGGAAGCCGTCGAGGCCGGGATCGTGAGCCACGCCTCGTGCCAATTGGACGAGCTTCTCCATATCAACGCGGTGCGGAGCAATAATCCGGATATCAACCAGCGGCAGATTCGATGCTTTTCGATTCGAGGGGTCGCCGAAACAGAACTCCCAGAGTCTGTTTTAGAGCGCATCCAGACGTCTCCTCTCCCCTCCTCTCCCTGCTCTTCAGACTATGAAACAGAGAATGAAAACGAAAACGAAAACGAATCCGATTTGTCTTCAGACATGTCGTCGCTCAGCACGGCCACAGCATCCATCCCTTCTGCGGACTTTACACCCCATCCCACTGCTTCCTTGCTGCCGACCGGGTCGCTGAGCGAGCTGGAGCGCGTTCTCCTCTTGACCGTTCCTTATTTCGAGGGGGATTATCTTCCGTACGTGGGAGAGGATCTTTTGAAAGAGATCTACCAGGATAGTTTGAAGCCCAAAGTCTCTCGCAGCGTTCGCATTCATCGCCTCCTGACATCTAGACCTCTCTCTCCCACGTGTCCTCCGTCTCCTCCTCCACCAAGAACAGAGCCGAGCTTCGCGACCGAATTCTACAAGACAACATTCTACAGTTGCCTTCCGAGTTCCTTCGCAAGTATGCCAAATCCATGCTGGAGAATCCTGCTCGCTTCATGATCGTCTATCTCCGTCCCACATGTTCCTTCTGCGGTCAAATCATCGTGGGCACCGGCCTTCGCTGCGATGACTGCTTCGTGAACAGCACGCCCTTCTTCCTCTGCCAGCTCTGCGCGCAGAAGGTTCGATCGATTGACTCACTCAATTCATCGTAGCGGATCTATCACGCCCATCCCTGCTCCACCGTTCAATTCCCATCCCTACCGCCCGTCGTCGAGCGAGATCCCACCATTTCCTACCCGTTTTTAGACAAACGACACGAGTTTCTGCGACTCTGCCAGGGCAACTTCCTTCAGTTCGATACGCTGCGGCACAGCGTGCTGTCGACTTCGATGGTCATGGAGTTCATCTTTCACAAGGTCCCAGACCCCTTTCTTGATCTGTGCGATTCCTGTGAGAAGATCCTCTATGATGAGTACTATTTGTGCAGATACAAAGACGATTATCGATTGTGCAAGGACTGCCTGGAGAGAGATGGAGGCATTCATTCCAAACATCACACAAACCATCCTAAAACTTGTTAACATTACACCATTTGCTAAATTCTCTCATGTCTTTTAATTTGAAAATCGGGTCTTTTGTTTGTTTTCAAAGTTTTATGAAGGAGTCTGTGGAGTTGCCTCACTTTGTGGAGGATCGAGCGATCGACTCCGAACCTGTTTATATTGCAAAGTATTCGCACAATGGACAGCTTTTGGCTGTAGTTCACACAGACTATTCTCTCTCTATTTGGGATGCAAACGATATTCTAGTCAATACCTATGAACAAGCTTTTTTCACACAAAAGACGCATAGCGACCCCAACTCGGTTCACCTCGTTTTTCTTGATTGGTCTGCCAGCGATCGCTATCTCTATTTTATCGGAGACTGCGTTGGGTTTCTCATCGATATTTATGGAAGCAAGAAGGATGCGCGGAGTTTTACGTCGATTTTGATTCGTTTTAATTTATACATAGATTTGATCAACCCTTAAATTCCTTTTCTGCTCATCCGGAGGAAGATATGTTGTGCCTTGTGACTTGTCTTGACAAACTAATCGAAGTCGATATCCAGAAAGACACAACACGAACACTGCTCAACTACCGAGACAGATTTCGCTCTGACACAACCCGAAGAACTTCCCTTCCTTCGTATGCACAATATACTGGGTTTGACAATCTAATCTTGCTCTGTGTGCAGGGTTATCTCTGCTTGGTAAACCAAAGCGGGGAGATCATAAACGAGTGTCTACTCAAGTTTTCGCCCCTCTTTCAGCAGCGAGTTTGCATCAACCGCGAAGACCGCACCTGCATTGTAGCGCGCCGTTCCGAGCTTTTGACCATTTCATTGCCCTCGATGGAGATTATCTCGTCCTACCGCGATTCCGTAAACGATTCTCCCTGGAAGTGTGTGGAGAGTCTTCCCTCCCAGAAGCTCGTAATGGCGATGCCAGAGAACTACGTGCTCGATGGTCCTGTGTTTTACATCATGCCTCCTGAGAACGGAGTGGACGTGGTGATCTACCGAGAGCCCAAGCAGCGCATGGCGTGGGGTCTGCTTCATCCCTCGGGAAACAGCATTCTCTTCTGCACGGACCAGCGCGAATTGCTGCTGTATCGCAACGAGGATCGCACGATTCATTGGAACGTAGATGAGCGGCAAGCAGCCTCCTTTCTAGGGTCCCATGTATCCTTATCATTTCACGTACCTCAAGAAAAACGAGCAGGGACCGTCCACGATGGAGCCTTCTTTCGAAGCGGACTATTTCCCGATCAGTGATCGCGGCATTGAGTTCATGCAGTGTGAGGTCCTGGGTCCAGTCCGGAAATCGGAAGGAACCGAGGATTCGAATGGAGTGCTGGGATCGAAGAGGACAAAGAGGGATGATCGTATCGACAAGGCAAGCGAACTTCATCCAATCGACTTGTTCTGTGACTGTCCAGAGAAACCGCAAGTTTTCTATATGCACCTCGTAGCGGAGGATCCAGAGCGCGCGGTGCTGCATCATGAGAACATGCTCCCTGATCCCCTTGATGATATTTACAATCGTGTGTAAAGTGGTTTGTTGAAATACCTGTTAAAAAGGCAGTATACAAGCACGCATAGCCTAATTGGATAAGGCGCTTGCCTACGGAGCAAGAGATTGTGGGTTCAAGTCCCACTGTGTGCTTTCTTTTTTGCTTTTATTCCTTTCCAACGACGATTCTTCGAATCCCACTTTTATATTCCACCCTTCCTCCTATTCCGGTTTCGGCCTCGTTTCGCCCAGTAGATCGCTGTATAGAATTGATCACCTTCTTTTTCAAACAATTCGTTCTTATCTTTTCTTTTTCCCCGCTTGAGTGTTTGCCATTTCAACTTTTCCTTTCCTGTTGAAGTAGCCTCCGTTTTCCTGTCTTAAGCCAATGAAACCAGATAAGGCGTTTCGAAGTAATCAGCAAGTGCTTAGAAGATCGATAAACAAGAGGAATGCTATAACGAAGCATTCGAGTTTGAAATCAGAAAAATCGACTCCAGCACCAAAGAACGATCGATTCAAAAGAAGACTCGATATCAATCAAGCGATTATTGAGGCGTTGGATGACTATACAGCGGAACATGTCGATGAGTATTCAAGGTATCAAAAAGAGCTTCTTCTTTCGCCTCCAATTTACGAGAAGAAGTCATCCAACACAGAGAAGCTGTCTTCCCAAAAGAAAACGAAAAGGACTCACAGTTTTGATATTCAGACTCACAAATCTCCTGTTCTGAGTGCAAAAAAGGCACCACCAGTTCATGACGAGCTTCCGCCGCTGGAACCTTTGAGTTTGCGTGTAAAAGTTAAAAGTGTAGGACCAACAGGTAACAGTCGGTAATCTGTGTGTGAGGAATAGAGGAAGATTTTGTGAATCAAGCAAAAACGCTCTACCGCAATCTATTCAAGGGCGGCTCGACGCTTCCTACGAAGTCCCTATTCTCTGCAGAGCAGGAAAAAGAGCTCAAGCAACTCTTGCTCAAGATTGTTCGTTCGAACGGGTCTCTTCCCGGTACCAACGAGGAACCTGTGCTGTTCTACTTCTCAAACAGCGCGATTTCTCGCTTGCTGGACGCGCTCCGTTACGAAAACCCCTACGGTCTGAGCATTCGAAGCTCTGTTCTCGAAGCTCTGGCTCGCTACGATATGAGTTTCCATCGCTTGATCAGTCATGGCTTGCACGAATATCTGCTCCAATACGTGATGGACGAGCGTGGTCTGCGAGACAACGACGGTTGGCCAGAGAGCGAGGTGTGAACTATAGACGATTTCGCGACGATTCATCAGCAGATCGGCGGGATCCATCGCTATGTGATGTTGCTGCGCGTGCTGACAGACGTAGACGTGCGCAATGGCGTGAACGATAGCTCTTTCGTCAGGACATAGCGCGCTGCGCGCCTTCCACCCCGCAGGAGTTCCAGCAATGCTTGAGCCAAGTGCAAACGCTTTTGAAGAGCGTGGAGTGTCTGCTTCGAACGCGATCGGGCGTGTCCAAATACGCGGAGCTTCTCTCGTCGGTGACGATTTCTCTGTTTTCGCTGGCTCCCTCGCAAATCCCCTCGTTTTACTCGTTTGTTTTGCAGCATTGGCCAATGTACAACTCGGAGAAAGTAGCGGTGAAGGCGGTGGGGAACGCGTAGATCGTGTCGTTCATCGACCTGCTCGAAAACCTGATGGCCTCTTCGCCTCCGCTGAATCTGACGCCCTTTTTGCGCGACATCGCTCGCAAAGTGTTCAAGAAAGTGTGTCGCGAGCTGCTCGGAAGCCACCTGGTGGTCAGCAAGCGCGCTGCGTATTTCCTGCAGAATTATTATCTCCGAAGCAACTATATCGCGATGGACGACGCCATTCTAACGACTGTGAAGAAGACGCTGAACGAGGGAAGTAGGCTTCGGAAGGGCGATCGAAGTGTAGTGGATCACTGGAACGAAGTCGTCGCGATGGCCTGCGATAAAGCATTCGATATGATTTTAGATGCCCTCTAGTCATTTACTCCCATGTACAATTGGCTTGTTTCTTCACAAACACTCTATAAAAGACAAAAAACGCTTCTTGCTTGCTCACTTTCGATGTCGCTTTGGCATTTTGATCGGATCGATGATCGTTCCCATGCGCGTCTTCACTTCCGGCTTCGTCAAACTCAAGAACGAGCTCTTGCTGTTCCACTCTCTTCCCAGCGGCTTCCGCATCGCGCGTTCGTACTGTTCGCGCGACGTAAACGGGAACGGCACGCCCTCCACGCGCATCGCGCGCTCCCTTGCCTCCGCCTTTTGATTGATAATCACATGTTCCAAGTGCGAATCGCTTCGTTCCGGCATCTCCACTTCCGGCTTCGGTTCGCGGCGTCTTCGCTTCGGCTTCGGCGCATCCTATCCATCAACCCGGACCTCTGTTTCCACGATTCCAGCCCAGCTGCCCCAGCCCTCCATCTCCCAATCGTTCTGGATGTGATGTTTCTCCTTGTACTCCTCCCTCTCTCGCTCGATCACCTCCGCCTTCGTCTCCGCGAACTCTTGCTCCGCTCCTGCATCCGCGAACGCCTGCGCCATGAGCGCTTCTTGGTCCAATTCGTCCTCGAACCCCAGGATTCCCTTCACCGGTCCCTTTCGTTTCGGTTCCGACGATTTCTCGATGATTACCACCTTCGGACCCTTGTCATCCTCCGGTTTCTCCGGTTTCCCTGGTTTCCCTGGTTTCCCTGATTCGGTGGACGGCGTTTTCTGCATGGATCCATCCTGGTTCATCCGCGCCGTTCGCTTCGCAGAGGCTCGTTCCTATCTCTGAGGTTTCCCCAGTTTCCCCACTTCCAGTCTGGCGACAGCGGCCTGCACATCCACGCCGTCCTCCTCCTTCTCCTTCTCCTTCGTCCCTCGCTCTCCATGACTCACGTTATCACGCGCTGCCGCCAGCCACGGATTCTCCCCCGCGGGTTCGTCCAGCAGCGCGTCATCCGCCTCCGATTCCCCGCGGGATCCCGCTTCGGCTTCGCTGAGATCGTCCAGCAAATGGCTTCGCGAGTCCTTCGGCTCTGCCGCGTTGTCTTGGACCGAACTGGGAATTGCCGAGTCGTCCTCGAAGAGGCTGGGAATTGCCGGAGCCTCGAAGAGCGGCTTGACGGTGATCGGGTCCTTCACCTCCAGGCTTTTCCCTTCGCGCTTCGCTCTCCGCACCACGCCGCCGCTCAGCGCTTCGCGGATCGCCGCCGCCTTCTCCGATTCCTCCTCCTCCTTCTCTGGTTTCCCCAGTTTCTCCGATTTCTCCTCTTCTGGGTCGGATTCCCGCGATTCGTGCTCGAATTCCTGGTCGAACTCCTTCTCTTCCTGCAGCGCCTGGATGAGTTTCTGCGCTTCTTGGCGGGCTTCTTCGCGTTGCCGCTGCAGCGCGCGCTTCATGAAGTCCATCCTGCGTCCCACGCCCCCTCGCTGCCCTACTGGAACACGCCGCGCTGCGTCGTCGCCGCGTCCCCGTCGATTTCCGCGAGAACCGACTGCGCCTCCCGCAGCAACGCGTCGTTCCCCGCGGTTTCCGCGTCGTCGCTCGAGGAGTCCGCGTCGTTCTCGCCTTCGATGCGTCGGCGAAGACGCTCGCCCTCGCGCAGCTGCTCGTTGATCGCTTCCTACGCTGGGATCTGCAGGGAACGCCTACGCGAGTCGCGGCGTTCGCCATGCCGCCGTGCTGCAGCGCGCGTTTCACCCACTATACATCACGCAGAAAACCGCGGAACCCACCTTGGAGGTGTTCTTGTGCTTCAGCGACATGCGCTCTTGCACACGCTTGAGAGCGTCCTTCTCGAGGAGCTCGCGGTAGAGCTCGGGGTCGGTTTGTTTCAGCATCTAGGCGATGAATGATGATTGGACGGAGAACAACCTCACGCTCCTCGGCTTTGCGCTTCTCCTCGGCTTTCTTGTGGATCTTTCGGTACTTCTTGCTCTTGATCTTGTTGATTCGCTTGTTTTTCTGCTCTTGGTAGAACAAGATCGACTTCATCTGGGCGAGCTCGCGATTCCGCGCTCGGACCTCTTCGACACTGAGTTTGTTCAACTCCAAGTCTTGGCTCTCCTTGTCACGCACTCCTTTCTCCTTCATTTCACTCTTCTCCAAAATCTGATTCTAACTCCAAACCTATATGCACGTACCACATCGATCTCCTTTTCTAGTTCGGTTGTTGGCTCAAACTTCGAGGCTAACGAGTTGGAGGATGTCTTGAAGCTGTTTGGAGCTGCGTCTTCAAAGCGGAGAAAGTCTTCATTTCGGTTTTTCAAAACGATCCCTCCCCACAGAGATACTTGGCCTTTGCTTTCTTCGTATGCAACCTAGAAAAGAATCGCATTAAGAATCAAAAGGTACATTTCTTTCCAACTTTTCTCGCTGATGGCGAGGCAATGCTGCCGACACTTTTGTCTATGCAATCATTCCACTGTAACAAGCATAATACTTTTGATTTTGAAATCTGAGTCACTTTCTGTCGCAAACTACTAAACTCGGCAGAATCACCAAGTTGGCCGACGAGTGCCTCCATACTAAGTCCTTGCTCTTTCGGAGTTCCGCTCATAGTGCAAACTTAAACGAATGGGACAGAATTGTTGACTTGGTCAATCGCAGACAAAAATCCCCCGAAAAATGGAATTGCAAAAGTATGGAAACAAACAATCCAAAACTCTTCTCCCAGCTTCATATTCTTCTCGATCGTTCCCCACTCGCGATAGAACGCCTCGGCGATCTTCACTCCCGTCTCGATATCCTTCGTTCCGCACATCTCTCGAATACTGTGCATCGCGAGCTGCGGAATGCCGCAATCCGCCGTGAGAACTCCGAGCTGCGTGCTGATGCGCGGTCCGACGGTCGATCCCTCCCTCATATCCTGCTTCTTGACGGAGGACTGGAGATCGAGGCGGTTCTTCTTGCAGAGATAACGCATGACGGCAGCGGAGGGAGCGGACGTCGCCATGTTCTGCGAGGCAGCGAAGGACATCACGACGCCCTTGTTGAGGATGCAGCGATGGTTGCTCTCGGTCTTGTCGCTGTACTCCGGATTGAAGGCGTGCGAGACGTCCTAGCCATCAAAGAAAAGAACAAAAAAGCGACGTAGGACAGCAAGAACGACTTGCGAATGGCCTGGCTGACGTTCGATTCGCCCGACAATTGACTGATGATCGTGCGAAGACTCGTGCTCTCCGCGCCGGCAAGCGAAGCAGAGCCGATTTCCTCGTGGTCGAAGAGGGCGAGCACGCGAACCATGTGGTCGTCGGCGACTGGCTGCTCGAGAGACTGCAGGAATCCGTGCAGACCGCAGTAGGTCATCGAGAGATTGTCGATCTTGCCGCTGAAGATGAATTCGTCGTGGATTCCGCCGATGGTTGCGGGCTAGAAGGGATGATGCGAGACAAGAGAGAAGGTACGGTTGGATCGTAGAGATAGCAGTCCATGTCAAGAACAGATTCGGCAGAGACGCCGGCCTCCTTGCAGATCAAGTCGACGAGCTCTTTGGGGTGGCGATTGTAAATGTCCACTTCGCTCTCCTTCTCGTCCAGGGAACCAAGACCAAAGATGGGGAGAAGTTGCGTTTCCTTGTTGAACTCCACTCTGTCACCCTTTCGCTCCTTTTCATCGGAGAGATGAATGGCAAGCGATGGAATAAAGCACAAAGCTTTATGGAGATCGAATATCTTGGTTTCAATGCGGCCTACTTGGTAATTGTAGTGCATCTTTCGAAGAATCAGCGTGAGAGATATTTTATTCTCCTGCTGATAATAATAATATCTCATCAAATTTAAAAATTGATTTAGAATGTGCTATTTCTGATTCATTCATATTGTTTGCAATTCAGTTATAGGTTCCTACTTAAGTCAATTCGGTGACGATTTTTCATGAATAAATATCACCAATATACATTTTAACCTAAGATTCTAGCAATAGGACATAGTATTGGCAAACGAGCCAATCAACAAGAATAGCCTAGTTGAACAAAAAGGAGAGTTTTAATGACTCTTTTACTATATAAATTATATATTATTTCTATGATTTTTGTTCACCACTTACAGAATTCTCATTCTGAGCTTCAGACTCCAATTGTAATGCAATTTGTTCAAATCCACACATTTCCAATGCTTTCATAATATAGGCAGGTTGAAGTGTTGACTTCTTATGCGATTTTGCTATTTCACATGCTCTTTTACATTACAACCCAACAATATATGTACGCTGCTGTGATATAATGCACAAATATATTAGTGGACAACACAATTGAATCGCGTGCCTCTTTTGAAAGCTATGATAAATAGATTTCGCCATAATTACTTGATATTTATCAGATAATACTCTGCGAAATTCTTTGAGTACTATGGACGGTTGCAACGTCTCGATATTCGTGTTTTCCTCTTCCATATCAGCTACAGTATGACAGTATGCTTAATATGCAAGATTCTAATCCGTTTTTGAAATGTGAGAATGACTTTGTCGTTTTGCTTTTTAGTTTATGTTTTGTATAAATGATCGAAACTAGCAATACGAATTTTCTTTTTTCAACTAATTGTTTTTCGAATGTGGTGTCAATTCATTAATTATCAACTCATTATTTAACTATGATAATCCTAAATCTATCCGGGGCATGGTTGAGTAAATTAACTAATTATGCCAATACTGTTCATTTGAATAGAATAGCAGCTTCTACGCTTCTATTCACCTGATTACTTTTAAATGCTTCCCAACGTTAATGTCTTGTTTTGTGTGTTTTTCTTCCCATTTCCTTTGTAGCAGTCGTTACTCTATTTAACCTAAAACAAAAGCATTCTGAATAGCCTGAAAGCTATTTGTGTTTGATTACCCAGCCAATCAGGTGACGCATGTTATCCGGGAGTTTCATGATTATTGAATGGTGAAGTAAGGCATATTTTATCACTCTATAAGAATGAAGACTGCTACTCTTGCTGTTTTTACTCTTGCTGTTCTTGCCTGTATTGCTCGGACAGCTCAGGGCACCTGCACTGACGAAACTTTCGGAACTGTGGAAGATGGTGAAACCGCTTATGCTGCTTGCCCTGTTAGTCAGGACGGATACCAGTCTGCCCTTTGTACGGGTGGAAGCTATGGTGAGGCTGATGTTTCGCACTGCACCGATAGAGGTGTCACCGTGTTCTCTTATGGTATTGCTAGCGCCTCGTTCTTTGTTGGCCACACCATCATCGATATGGCCTTGAAGACTGACGGATCGATGGCCAGCTATACTATTGATCCTGCTCTTCCCGAGGGTTTGAATTTTGATTCTGCTTCTGGTGTTATTTCCGGAACTCCTTCTGTGGCTGCTGAGGCTATGCCTTACACTGTCACTGGTGTTCCTACTGCCGGAGGTTCTGGTCCTTCCACGATGATTACGATTTCTGTGTCTGTGGTGATGTGCCCTGCCCTTGATTCGTTCCCTACCGTGGCTAGTGGTGAGACTTCTTCCTCTACCACTGCTTGCCCTGCGGGAACTCAGGGAACTGCCACTCGTCTCTGCACCGATGGTTTCTTTGGAAACATTGATACTTCGGGCTGCGTGGCGCTGGCTCCTCAGGGTCTGTCGTACTCTGGAACCACGTCTGTTAAGCGTAACACTCCTATTGTTCTGGAGCCTCATTACCAGAACGCGGTCACTTCTTTCGAAGTGTCGAGCGGTACTCTCCCCGCTGGAGTGACTCTGTCTTCGGAAACCGGAACGATCTCCGGAGTTCCTACTGCCACTGGTTCTTCTGTTGTGACGATCCGTGCCAATGGCTCTGGTTCCTCCACCACGACTGTGTCGATCAGCGTTACTTCTGCTTCGTGCTCGGGTCTGCAGGATAAGAACGGTGGATCTGTCACCATTAATCACAACAGCCAGATTAACTTCGACTGCGAAGAGGGTTATACTGGCACTTGGAGTTACACTTGCCAGGATGGAGTGTACAAGAACAAGTTTGAGGGTCTTTGCCAGGCCTCCAGACCCACTCAGTTCAGCTATGCTCGTTCTACTTTCAATCTGAAGGTCGGCGAGCAGATGTACTCGGGTCGTCCTACTTGGAGTGGTGTTGCTAAGGTGTTCACCGCTACGAATTTGCCTGAGGGCTTCACGATTGATACTTCCACTGGTATCATTACGGGTTCTTCCTCCTCTGCCTATGATGTTATCCAGTCGGTCACTGTTTATGCGATGGTGAGCGAGAGTGCTACTCCTTCTCAGAAAGCTTCTACCACTGTCTCGATTATGGTCAGCGATTACGAGTGCAGCGGAGTGACTGAGTTCGATACCAAGAAGGTGGGAGGTACTAGCGAGTACAAGTGCCCTGAGAGCGAGGGCTACGAGGGAACGATGAAGCGAAAGTGCGTTATGGTGGACGACAACACAAGAGCGGAGTGGGCTTTGCCTGAATCTCACTGCCAGCTTAAGCCGGACTTCACTTTTGTCTATATTGGTGGTATTGTCTTCGTCGTCTGTTTGATCATCATGATCATTGGACTGATTGTGAAGTCGAGCCGTTCGAGAACCAAGTCGCAGAAGAAGAATCTGTCCAAGACCACTTCGAAGCCTGCTCCCAAGGCCGTGCCCAAGACAGCTCCAGTCCACAAGGCTCCTGCGAAGGTCACAATTTAAATTGTGGTTGTGTTTGTTTCAAACAGATCAAAAGGTGCTAGTGTACATTGGGCGTGGTTTTGCCTTCGGTTTCGCCTTTGCCACTTTGCGATTCGGTCTTCCTACATGTTACATAGACTAATACAAGAAAGCCACCTGTCGCTGGAGGAGTCGAAGATGGAGTAGTCGATTCTGCTTTTTGCTCGGGCATAAAAGGCATGAAAGCCTTTATTGGCGGTGCAGCGGGAGGTGCTACTTCAGCTTCGGCTTCCGTTGCAGTTGCAGTTGCAGTTGCAGTTGCAGTCTCAGCTGCGGGGTTTTCGGGTTGTTGGGCAGGCATTGGAGGTTGGGGAGGCTGCATTGCAGGCTGCGCAGGCTGTGCAGGAAGCTCAGGTTGCACAGGCGTCATGGGAGGTGGAGGTGGTGGGGCCGGAGCCTCCTCTTCCTCCGGCTCTCCCGGAATAATCCATCTTTTCTTCGCTTCATCATAGTAGGGCTTCACTTCATCCTTGGACAAATCCACTTTGTAGACCTTCTTTCCAGAATCCGAACCCCTGAAGAAGCTGAAAGAGAACCAAGAACTATGCTCTTCCTTCTTTGGCTCTTTTGCAGGCGTGCTTTCTTTTGCTGGTTTGCTGGGAGCAGGAGCAGGAGTAGGCTTAGGTTGTTCGAACGGAGTAGGAGCAGGAGCAGGTTTAGGCTGAGGCTGCTCGAACGGAGCAGGGGCAGGAGTAGGAGTAGGAGTAGGCTTAGGTTGCTCAAATGGAATCGGAGTAGGGGCAGGAATCGAAGCAGGTTGATCGAAGGGAATTGGAGCTGGAGCTGGAGTAGTTTGAGGCTGTTCAAATGGAATCGGAGCAGGAGCCGTTTGAGGTGGTTCGAATGGAGCTGGAGCTGGTTTGGTCTGTTCGAACGGAGCTGGAGCAGGAATCGAAGCAGGCTGCTCGAACGGAATGGGAGCCGGAGCAGGTTGAGGCTGCTCGAACGGAATTGGTGCAGGCTGTTCAAATGGAATGGGAGCCGGAGCCTGAATGGGCTGCTCGAACGGAGTCAAGGCAGATTCCATGCCTTGCTGCGCTGGCGGTTCCACGGTTCCCTGCGACATCGCCGGAGGCACAGGCATGGGCGTGGGCATGGGCGTGGGCGGGACATACGACACCAGATGGACGTTGTGGCGAGAGCGGCGAATGCCCGGCTGCGACCGCGCGGGCGTCGATCTCATCGCCGGTTGGCTCAACGCAGACGACGGAGGGGGCGTCAGCGGAGCCGCGGGGGACGGAGACAAGGGGAGCGAAGGCGTGGGCGGCAAAACGGGCGGGAGATTGGGCGACATCGGCGGAGCGGAGGGCGAAAACTCCTCGACGGGAGACGTTTCACGCGAATCCACGGCGGTCATGAGCGTATTGATTCCTTTATCCAGCGCACTGAAAAGCTGCGTAAGAATGCCTCCCTCCTTCCCCTTCTCTCTGTTCGTTAGGCCTCCCCATGACACCAACTCCTTGTCATTCTCCACGCTCTGGAAGCGATGCTCGAATTGCTCGAGTTGATTCAGCAGACTTGGGTTCTTCACGCTGTGCGACTTCACGAATTCTTTCAGTTCCACGATGTATTCGCGGCTCTGGTTTCCGCAGCCCAACTCTTCACAGCGCATCGCGTGAAGAAGCTTCAGCGAACACAGCGAGCGGCAGCGATACACCGAGTTATTCAGCGTAATGCCGAACTCGAACAGCTCCGACGCCGCCAAACACGCGTCCAACGCTTGGTTCCGCTCCACTTCGGTCGAATTCTCTTCGAAAGGAGCGTCGCTCTTTCCTTGCGACTCGATGAATGCGCCCAAGATCGAAAACGAAGGGTCGACAGTTACCGATTTGAGTTCTTTTCCGGCAAGCTACGCATCACAGCGAGTCCAAAAAGAACAACAATGTAGCAGATTTGAGCAGGGATGATGGCTTGCTTTGCACGAAGCTGATTGCCCAGCTCTTCGATCATCTCTCCGGAAGTCGTGTTCGGCACAATGGACAGAATCCCAGAAAGCATGCGCGTCCATCCTTCGACCGACGATCGATTCAGCGATCTGCGATTTGACAGCCCTGCCAATCCCCACTTTTTCGAATCCCCCAAGATCAGAGGCAGGATAATCGCGAGAGTATTGTTCTCAGGGAAAAGATGCATGGCGTATTGCAAACAGACGGAGCGGAACGTTTCTTCGTCTTCGAGATATCCCGCCAGCATTGCTAACGACCAGATCTGATTCCTCGATGCCACGTCGATCGCTTCTTTCCGCTACGAATGAAATCCCAATCGATTTGCCACCTTTCCCGCAAGGAGTAGGTCTTGAATCGAAATCAAATCGGATGAATAGGTTTCTGGGTTCGGATTGGGCAGCTCGTTAGGAGGCAGATCATCGGAGATGCACGCTTTGCTCATCAAGAGCGAGCATAACTTCTCAGTGGTCTTTTTTCTACATGAAAGCGCACAAAGAAACGATTTACGATCGACCCGCATTCACCACTCCATTGCTTTCGATTAGAATCGAGAGAACGCCCCAGAGAAGCTTCCAGTCCTCGTTATTGCAGCACGCGATTTGGCTTTGGCAATACTGAAGCGCTTTCTCGCGTTTCTTTCCCTGCGTTAGCGGTCCGGGGAAGGTTTGCAAGTCGTACAAACTCCCATCCTGTGCGTTCGGAATGCGATCCAGAGCGGATGTAGTGCAGCGATATCCACCGATACTGAAGTGCAAAGGCGCGCGGTTGCTGCTGGCCTGCTGAACATTCTTCAACGGAACGAACGGCTGGATGTGAGGCGTCGAAGGCTCCGGGAGCGAGCTCGCGGGAGGAGGAGTGAGAGAAACAGGAGACGAAACAGAAGGAGAACCAGCGGGAGGATTCTCGAAAGGAGGATTCGCAAAAGGAGGAGTCGAGATAGGCGGAAGTGACACGGGAGGAGCGACAATTGGAGGATTCTCGAAGGGAGAACTGGAAATGGGAGGATTCGCAAAGGGAGGATTGTCGATAGGGGGCGTCGAAATAGGAGGTGATGAGATAGGAGGAGTAGAAATAGGCGGAGTAGAAATAGGCGGACTGGATACTGGAGGATTTGCAAATGGAGGATTTTCAACAGGTGGCGGCGTAGAAATCGGAGGCGAAGATACAGGAGGAGGAAGTGTGGTGTGGGAAGCAAAGAAGCTCTCAGCACTCACGGCATCCAAGTGATCATCCGACGGCTTCGACTCTTTCAGCCCTTCCAGCACCTTATTCGAAGCAGCAATCGCTTCTTTCGTCTCCTGCATCGTCTGAGCCACGGAGAGACTCGAACTCAGCACGATCGGTTGGATCTGCTTCGACCCTTTCTTCGCACTCGCAGGCGGACCGGCCATCGCCGATTTCGCCACTGGCTCCACCGGTTCTTGCATTGGCGTTGTGGGAACATACTGCTGAATCCGGCGCGATCGCTGCTTCTCTTGCTTCTCTTGCTTCACTGGCTCTGGAGTCGACGTTATGGGTGTGGATGCGGGCGTGGAGGGAGGAATATACAACGGGACCAATCTCTACACAACAAGCTACCTCAGAAAGGGTACATTCTTCGTGGGTTCCTTCGGCTTCGGAGCTGCAGGCGCTGGTTCTTCGACGGGCATTTGAGAAAATGAGTTCACCTTAGGGGCTGTTGCGGGCATGAACGGAACAATTTTAGAATTGCGCGTAAATGGTTTTACAGTAGACGTTGAAGGTTCTGGCAGAGACGAAGTCGGCAGACTGGGTTGTCTACTGTGTCCCGCCTGAACTGCGTTATTTGATGGAATTACAACTGGTTTGTAGCTCTTTACATAGGGGGCTTTCACCTTTGATGATGATTGGTTACTTTCCAGAGTAGATGACGAAGGAGGAGTGGCTGAAGGCATGAACGGATGTCCACTGGTACTCTATATTATAAATAAACAGGAAAAGATAAGATACTCGAGTAATAGCAGGTGCGGAGTGACTTAACGGTGTAAAAGGCTTAGCATGATTTCCATGTTGCAGGTGTGAGGATGGCTGACTGAATGGAGATTTGACATGCTGAGATGCTGGTTGCTATACAGGGTTAGATCATCTCTCTCGACAATAGTTTTCCACCATTTCATTCGTGAAGATATCACAAAACACTTACTTGATTCATATTTACTAAGAATAATTCTTAGATTCAACAAGTCTGAGATTCCCCATCATCCTGGAACCAAGTTTTGATTAAAGTTATTTTCTGTGACACACTCATTTATAATTTCATTCAAATCAAATGATTTAGAGAGTTTTCGAAACAGATCATTTCTGTAATTGGAGTTGAACAGAAGTTTATCATAACTAACCGCGATATCATCACAAGATATTTCCAAAAAATGTGATTTGTTATCTGAAACAAGCGTTTTGTAGTGTATAAAAAACAAGCGGCAAAAATCGAAATAAAAACGCGGGATTCATTTTGAACCTTTCACACTTCTCTTCACGAATCCGATTTAATACATACAAATAATGAGCCATTTTGGATCGTCTGTGAACAAGTATACACAGTAAGTCAATTCATCGTTCTTTGATAATAGGGCTGATGAGAATGTCAACGTACTCCCATCGTCTCGGAAAAGACAGGTAAAAATTGTTTGAGGTGTATCTCCTGTAGAATCACGATGATTATGAAGCTGGGTTTCAAACGATGTTGACAGCAAAGAAAACACAGATTCAGCCCTTTACGTCCATAAACCAAACACAAAGCGCAAGTAAAGAAGAAAAACCAGTACCTGAGACCATTGATGTATTTTTTATTGTATTTATCTAATTTCGCAGATACGCCAGAAGGATGATACTTATTATGAAGTGATTTCGTGGTTTTCAATTGATTCTATAGGGATTGGAGAATAAGCTCAACGATTTAGTGAATGTGGTGACGAATTTGACTAATATGGTGGAGGAAATGCATAGTCATATGGTGAAGGGAGAAGATGCTATTTCACAGGTGATTCAGGAACTACTCGAACAGAAAGATAGAGAGAATAAGTTAAGCGAGGCTGCAAGAGAGTTGTTTGCTGTCAACGATCAGGTAAGTTTTTAGTGTGGTAAATCATTGTATCAGCTTACCCAAGAAAATGAGAGTTATAAAAAGGAAATCACCGAGCTACGCAATATTCTGAAGGAATATGTATGATGTTTGCTCGTTTTTCTAATGTCTAGGAAATCTTAGATCAATGTCTTAAACAAGAATAGCTTTAACACACATATTATCAACATATTTGTTACACTCCTTCTCGCTTTACACCTTTTTGTTTGTAGTTATCAATCTCTCTCATCAGAATCGCGCTCCATTCATTCCGTTTTTGGACGATCGTCTACATCACACCTCAGTGAAACGATCCTACTTTATATTCATCGTAGACCTCTTCTTCGGTTTTGCCTTCGGCCATTTTGAGATAGGAGTCAACTAATTCACCATCCTGCTCTTCCTTCTCTTTTGGCATAAAAGCACCGAGTTTGTCTTTTACTAACTATTAAACAGCGCACTTGAACGTTTACCATCACCTCCTCTTTCAGCAGGCTCGATAATGTAATTGTGTAAACCAACTGCTGCCTACACGTTCATCATAAAGAAATAAAATCACTCTATCATCTAGTTTCAGTAGATTCTCAGCAGCTTCTCCAAATGCGTTTGCTACAGTGTCCCTTAAATTAAAATATATATTTATATAGAGTACCACTTTCTAACTTCCAGCCCATTCTCAATTCGGTCGATGGACTTTAGTAGTAGATTCACTGCATAGGATATGTAAGATGGACCACTTTGATCATCTTGCCTCTCGCTAAACTACTCTTCATGACCTACATACAAGAGTACCATTTCGGCAGAATTTACTGAGAACACACAGCAAACAGTAGATGAATTGAAATCTCTCAAATGAAGCTAATTCTAAGGAACTCTAGTCATTTTTATACACATCACTTAACCAGCAAGGGAATCTTTGTGATGGACGCGAGCACGAAGAAGTCTAGATTCTATACAGCTGGAGAAATCAAAGCTTCGGAGACTGTTTTTCTTTTTTGGGTAATTCATCCCTAGCATGGAGGATTTGAGGAGAGAAGTATTATGAACCCAGACCCAATGTATATTCCCAATGCCCCCGTTCAAGAACGCATGTACAAAGTTTGGAGTTTCGCTGATTCGCTAGATCTCTTTATGAACAACTGGAAAATAATAAAAAGCGAGAACAAGACGAATTAGCCGAACGGCGAAAACTAATGTATGGAGTACGTCCCATGGATGATGAAGAATGCAAAGATTACCAGCAAATGGAAATTGCTCGACGAAATCGTGAAAAACAGAATCGTGAACGTGTAGAACGCGAAACGAAAGCTTTCCGTTGTTTTTTATGATTTGTTTTTATACTAGAACTCATGCAGGAAAGAGCGATGATCGAGGAAGTCGAGGAAGAAACAAAGTATGCAATCGTTCTTGTTGGATGAAGGAGTAGATTGGGTGAACTCACCTTTGGAGGCCAATTAAAGACCGAATCCAAGAAAGACCCGCTTCCTTCTGCCTCCTTCACGATAGTAGCCAAACCCAAGAAGGCTACAAAGAAGGTTCCCTTGAAGAAGAAGAAGAAAGCAGAGAAAGCACCTCTCAATCTTCTCAGTTATGGCACAGAAGATTAAAAGAGTCGTACAAATTATAATTATAATGATAATAATAATATCGCTCTTTGTTCCAACAAACACAAGGTCGATCGCGCGAACGCCTTACAAATTTCCAGGCATCACATCTCTCTCAAATCTTCCGGATGGAGGCGGCATCGTCTGCTTGTAGAAGTTGCCGCGACGTCCCCAGCTTTGTCCCTTCTGGAAGCTGGCTCGGTTCTGTCCATAGTTCGGAGCGGAGTTCTCTACGCCTCAACCCACGCCCCAGCACGCACGATAGCGATAATTCTTGCGATTCTCGCGGTTTCGCTCATCCAGCGAGCGTCTGCCGAACGTTTCTTCGTCTCGTCCGCGATAATGACGGCCCAGAATCATCTCTCTCTCCTCACTTCGCTCCTGCAGACTATCGAAAAAGTCGTCCTTCTTGTAAGCAGGCGAGGAAGACTCGATTGCCTCCACGTCCTTCTCCAGCTTCTTGTTTGACTCCTCGAAATCGAAATCGTTGTTTATTGGCTCTTCCAGGGGATCTGGAATGCCTCCAGGCATATTGCGGTAGTAATTCTATATTGACAACAGAACCCATTCCAATACGCCTTGGTAAAAGTCGCGATTCGCAGGTCTTTGCATGGGCATCGGAGCGTTCTATGCATCATAAAAAGCGGTTTAAGAATAATACCATCGGACCTTTCGGCATAACATTGCCAGACATTTCAGAAGACTATCAATAACAAGAATCAAACACAGCAAACCATAGCAGCGGGAGTCTGGTCCGCGATACTAGGGTCGAAGAAACTATACTAACCATATAACGAAAATCAAAAATAGACTTGGGGAATAAGGCTGATCGTTTGAATACCAGACCTGTTGAAAGAGATGACAGGTTTGATATCCACCACTACACCAATGAACACTTCACACTTGCGATCCTCTGTTCCGAATATTCTCACTAAAATAATGAGATCACCAGATAGTGATACCGTTTTTCAGAGTAATCGTATCGTTATTAATCATGTAAATTGTACCTTCATAACGAATGTTCGCAGTCGAAATGAGTGATGCAATTTTACCAATATACTGGCTACTTGAATTTGTCGCCATTCGTAGATACCAACTAAATCAAGATACTTCTTATATGAGGCAGTTTTCCAAAAGATGTATAGTAATTAACGTTATTGATAATTATAAAGCGGAAAGAAACTAGGTGGCTTGACAAATAGTAGCGATTGTCCTCTGTTGATTCATGGTTTTTCATGAAGATGACCGTTTCGTCAAGCATAAAAGGTTACACGCGAAATTGAAAAAACGCCCCGATTTTTGGATTATTAGGACTACGGGAGAGGAGGAACCTTATTATTTGTTTATATGTCGGAAACAACCACAAAGAAAAAGTTGAACTACGTAGTGTGGTTGACTGTTTAGGCTGCCCCCTCCATCCTACGAGGAACAATCTGGCTTTTTGTCGAAAATATTTTTTATGTGGCTTAACCCTATTTTGAAGCTGGGAAGCAAACGAGCGTTGGAACCGGAAGATTTACCTATGTTATCGTAAATATTATTCTCTTTAGCTTATGTATAGCAAAGTTGACCAGTCGGAGAATATTTTTGGCAAGGTGACAGCGGCTTGGGAAAACTCCAAACAAACAAAGTAGCTATTTTGCCATCATTCAACATAGACCGAGCGTTTTCAAGAGCATGGCACGTGCCTTTGGACTCCCTTTTCTGTTTGCCGCCTTCTTGAAGTTGATTCACGACATTTGTCAGTTCATCGGACCGATTATGTTACGCCAAATGATTGCTTTTCTCAACGATAAGGATGCAGAGATTGTACACTTCCCAAACATTGGATGATGGTTAGTCGGATGGATACATGTATTGTGCGATCTTGTTTTTCTCTGCCCTCCTTCAAAGTCTCTGCCTTCGAAACTACTTCTACCTCTGCTTCCGAACTGGACTCCGTCTTCGTTCAAGCTGCGTGACGATGGTGTACAACAAATCTCTGCGTCTCAGCGCCGCCTCTCGCGCGCTGTACAACCAAGGCGAGATCATGAATCTGATGGAAGTGGATAGTCAGAAGTTCCAGGACATCACTTCGTATCTCCAAACGATTTGGTCGGGTCCCTTCCAGATCGTGGGATCCGTGATTCTCCTCTGGCTGCAGCTTCAATGGGCCACGATCGGAGGCGTCGTCGTGATTCTCCTGATGATCCCGTTCTCTCGCTTGATCTCCACAAAGCTCGCGTCCATTCAGCAAGAACTCATGAAAGTGAAGGACAAGCGAATCAACACGACCACCGAAGCCCTCGAAGGCGTCAAACTCATCAAGCTGCAAGCCTGGGAGCGATCCTTTTTGGAACGCATCTCAGGTATTCGCAACGTCGAGATCTCGGTGCTTCGCCAATTCGTGAAATGGCAGATGATTTCATCGGCGGCTTGGGACGCGACGCCCTATCTCGTCTCGATCGTCACCTTCTCGATCTATGTGCTGACGGGCCACACGCTCACCACAGAGATCGCTTTCACCTCCATCTCGCTGTAGAGCGTTCGATTGCCTTCTCAGTGTAGATTCAACATTCTTCGATTCCCGCTGAGCATGTTCCCTGACGTTGTTTTTCTCCTCTCCATTCACTCACAGACCATCAACAATTTGTCCGAGTCCTCCGTCTCGCTCGCTCGCGTCCAAGGCTTCTTGCTCGCCGAGGAAATCGATGTCCCTTCCCGCGACAACCGCGCATCCACGGGAATCTCGCTCTCCGACGGGCGTTTCCTTTGGAAGACGGTATTGTGTTCGATGGAGGACTGATCCCCAGCCGCTTTCGCAAGACAAAATGGAGATGAAGATGGGCTGTTGCGGCGTCAAGGCGTCCAGCAACCCCGCCCAGTCCCTCATGAAGGCGACCGACACGCCGCAGGACGCTGCCGAGCAGAGCCAGCCGTTCGAACTGACAGGAATTAACGTGTCCTTCGAGTCCAATCAGCTCTCTGCGATTGTCGGTCACGTGGGCTGCGGAAAATCGTCGCTGTTGAACGCGATTCTGGGCGAAATGCCGAGGGTCGACGAGTCCAGGGATCTGAATTCGATGGTCCACATCAAAGGAAGCATTGGCTATGTGCCGCAGACGCCCTTCATCATGAACGCATCGCTTCGCGATAACATTCTCTTCGGCTCTCCGTTCAACGAGGAAAAATACAAAGTGCGTCCAGTCATTTCGAATCACCCATAGAAAGTTCTGGAAGCTTGCTCTCTGCTCCCCGATATCGCGATTCTCCCCGCGGGAGACATGACCGAAATCGGAGAAAAGGGAATCAACCTCTCCGGAGGGCAGAAAACGCGCATTTCGCTGGCTCGCGCCGTGTACCAGAACTGCGATATGTGATTCTTTTTCCGCTCATTGAACTCGCAGATACCTTCTGGACGATCCGCTTTCCGCCGTCGACGCGCACGTGGGTCGACACATTTTCCGGCACTGCATCAAGGGATTGCTGGCGAACAAGTGCGTGGTTCTGGTCACCCACGCGTTGGAGTTCTTGCCGGCGTGCGACCAAGTGATTGTGCTCGAAAAGGGAGCCATCGCCGATCAGGGAACCTTCGAGAAGGTGAGTCAGGCCACGTCGGGCGTGCTGGCGGGATTGCTGCAAGCGCAGAAGGAGGCGCAGGCGCAGCAGGCGCAGGAGGAGTCGCCGATCTCGCCGATCTCGCCCGTGGAGGTTTCTCCGATGGAAGCTTCGCCGCTGTCGAGTGAGAAGAAGGAGGAAGAGTTCGATGGTGCGAAGGAGGAGGAGGAAGAAGAAATAGCGAAAGAAACCAAAGAAGAAGAAAAAGAGAAGAAGGAAGCGACTAGTGTTGACGTGACAGTAGAAAGCGATGCGAAGAAGGGCGAATTGACCGTCGAGGAAACGCGCGTGAAAGGCAAGGTGAAGCGATCTGTGTATTGGATGTACTTCGCGGCTGCTGGCGGCACCTGCATCATCTCCGTGATCTTGCTGCTGTTCATTCTCGCACAAGTGGTGCGCGCGATCAACAACTGGTGGCTGACTTACTGGTCCAACGATTCGGCAGGCAAGGACGCGAAGTGGTACTTGGTCATTTACATCATTCTCGGCGTTCTCACGGTCGTCGTCGCCATTATCGCTCATCTCGTTCTGTTCTTCACCGGATTGAAGGCCAGCTCGCGACTGCACGACGGACTCATCAAGGGAATTCTCTCTTCTCCGATGTCCTTCTTTGACCAAACCCCGATCGGTCGAATCACAAATCGAATCAGCAAGGATCTCTACACGGTCGACAAAACGATCCCGCTCGTTTTCGATCAGTTCCTTGGTTGCTTGTTCTCCGTTCTGTCCACGCTGGTGATCATCACGATGGCCTTCCCTCTTTTCCTGGTCATTCTAGTGCTCATCAGCTTCTACTACGTCTACGAAGGCTGCTATTACATCAAGAGCAGTCGCGAGATCAAGCGACTGGACTCCATTTCCCGCTCTCCCATCTACGCCAATTTCGGAGAAACGCTCGACGGCACGTCCGTGATCCGCGCGTACCAAGCCGAGCAGCAATTCATTCAGAAGAACTACGATCTTCTCGACCTCAACCAGCGTGCCTACTTCATCATCTCTTCTTCCAACTGCTGGCTGGGCATTCGTCTCGAGTTCGCCGGAACCATCATCATCGGCGCCACCGCGCTGTTCTCCGTCCTCCGGAAATCATCCGCGACCGACCTTTTCATCTCCATGGCCGCGCTGGCGATCAGCTACTCGCTCGACACCACGCAGGACCTCAACTGGGTCGTCCGCATGGTGACCGACATGGAGACGCAGATCGTATCCGTGGAGCGCATCGAGGAATACACCGAGCTTCCCTCCGAAGCCCCAGCCCACATTCCCGACACGCAGCCCAGCGAATCGTGGCCCTCCAAGGGCGATATCGCCATCAACGGAATCGTGATGCGCTATCGGCCCGAGCTGGAGCCCGTCATCAAAGAGCTCAGCGTGCACATTCTCCCCGGCGAGAAGGTCGGCGTGGTGGGCCGAACGGGCGCGGGGAAGAGTTCCCTCGTGCTCTGCCTGATGCGAATCATCGAGCTGGAGCGAGGCTCCATCGAGATCGACGGCGTGGACATCAGCAAGATCGGCCTGGAGGATCTCCGATCGAAGATCGCGATCATTCCGCAGGAACCGCTGCTCTTCTCCGGGACGATCCGCGATAATTTGGATCCGTTCAATCACTACACGGACGAGGAAATCTGGTCCGCCCTCCAGCGAGCCTCGCTCCACGATCTCATCGCTCAGGACCCTGCGGGGCTCGAGAAGACCGTGGAGGAGCACGGAACGAACTACTCGGTGGGTCAGCGGCAGCTGCTGTGTGTGGCGCGCGCGCTGCTTCGGAAATCGAAGGTGATTCTGATGGACGAAGCGACCGCCTCGATCGATCTGGAGACCGATATGAAGATCCAGAAGACGATTCGGGAGGAGTTTTCGGAGAGCACGGTGATCACGATCGCGCATCGAATCCATACGATTATTGATAGCGATAAGGTGATGGTGATGGAGATGGGACAGCTGAGGGAGTTTGATAAGCCGTCGGTGTTGTTGAGCGATAAAAATAGTATGTTTAGCCAGCTTGTGGAGAAATCGAAAGAGATCGAATAGGCTGGGGGGTAATCTTTTATCATTTCGTTTGTTTATTTGAAACATTAAATCCCCGGAGATGAACTTACAGGATTTTGATTTTGCACTATTTATCAAGGACGAATCAGCTCCGGAGGCGGAATTAAAGAACCGCACTGTATTATACCAAAGTAATGATACGAATTGTTTGATTATTGCAAGGCGAAACATGCGACGTGTACATATTGATGCGGAGGAAAAACAAGGACGTTAATCTTGCTTCTTGGAAATTGACTGTGCAAACGATTCAGGCAATGATATTTCTACTGTATTTCTCTGAGAAGCCTATGATTCTAGTGCTCAGGAAACATCGAGCGATGTAGTTGAGAAATCTTTCAATGAGCCTCTAATTCACAAGAATCTTCTTCTATCTGCAGTATTTCGTGATGTTCTGGAGACGGAGGAGGGGTCAAGTATCCCTTTATTCAGCGCTCGTTCCTGTATAGAACTTCCTCCCTGGCTTTCTTCCTGCCTCTCCGAAGGTTTATTCGACTGTTTCTACAAATGCACATTACGCATCGATCTCCCCGATCGATCCACTATCCACTACAAGCTCCTCGCAGGCCAAGAAGTCGGTAATTTCTTCCTCCAAGCGATCGTCAAGCCTTGTCCCTCCCATTTCGTTCCATCTTCGTTGTGTCTTCGATCGTAGTCCAATTTCCAGCTTGTCAACCAATCAAACAATTTGCCGCGGTTTTCCATCCCTCCCTTCCTCCAAAACCCGATCTGCAAGCGATTGGCTTCCCTCGCGCTGCTCGAAGACAACTTTTCGACTGACGTTTCCGCGGTTATTCGCTCTGATTTAGGACCATAAGTCGCTGGACGTCCCGATTTCAGTCCAAAACCACCTCGTTCTTCGAATCGCGGGGGAGAACGGGAAGGTCCAGCTCCGTCTGGAGAACCGCGGGGAAACCGAGATCCAGTTGGAGGAGCTTTTGAGCTACATTTCGAACGTGGTATTTTTGGAAAACCTTCCGGATACGCGGGAAGTCGAGATTCTGACTTCCGTATTTCCGCTTTTTCTGTTTGTTTTGATATAGTACACGCTCCCAAAACGATCCCCTTCCATTAGCGATGATGTCCGAATCGCATCGCCGCAACTTCCTTCCGCGGTGAAAATTGGTGCGCACGGATCGTACCGCCACGATGTAGTCCCAAATGCGGAGTTGAATGCAGGTGGTGGTGGAATACACGCAGAACCACGCGATGACGGCAACCTCGCAATCCTTGTCGGAGCGCTGCGAATGCGACGTGTATTTCCGGCTGTTTGTGAGGTGGAGAGAGCCGAAGAGTCGCGTGCCGCTGGAGCGAAGCTATGAGTGGGGATTGGGCGAGTCGAGAGATGTAGTTTGTGCGCGCGACTGCATCCAAAGCCGCAGATTGAAGTGAAATACGAGCAGGTGGAACGATTGGGAGTGTTTCAATCGGGACGAGTGGGGATCGTGGTGACGAATCTGAGCCATTACACACTTACGGATTTCCGATATCCAACGCAATGGAGGTGAAAGTGAAATTGAAATTGAAATTGAAAGTGAAAGTGAAAGTGAAATGAATCTCAATGTGAATGTGAATGTGAATGTGAATGTGAATGTGAATGTGAATGTGAATGTGAATGTGAATGTGAATGTGAATGTGAATGTGAATGTGAATGTGAATGTGAATGTGAATGTGAATGTGAATGTGAATCAATTTTCTTTTCTCTTTTTTTTGGTTTGGAATGTGTGTGAATGAAAGAGAGAATGCTTCCAGTTTCTTAACGACAGAGTTTCCTTTGTTTGCAGCTCGGAGATTCGCTGCAGTTCGGTGGATCGCGTCGTTCCGGAGTTGCTGCCCCACGTTTGGATTCGCTTTGCCTTTTCACGTAGTCGCAATTGAAGGTGAAGATCGCCGTCATTCCGCTAATCATCGGATCTTGCAAGCTCCCTTCCGTTCTCTGCGTCGATCAAATGGGCCACATGATCCCCACGCTCTGCGTTCCGCCCTCCGTGATCGTGAACTCCGTGTAACATGCCTTGTTTCTTCCAACAAACAAACCATTGAGGCAGATACTGCCTTCGAATCCGTTCTTTCAACACCGAAAAATAACCACGATCTGCTTCCGAGAAGCTTGAAGAACTCTCCACAATCCCATCCAGACAGCGACAAAACGCATCGATTTCGTTCGCTGTTGGACTCCATTTCGCTGCTTCGTCCAATAAAACCGCGGATTTCATCGCTTCCTTCTCTGCAAAAGCAGGCTTCGACTGATTCAACACCGATTCGAACGATGGAAACAGCGGGCTTTCCAGCGCTCCTTTGCTTTGAAACAGCAACGAACGCAGCTCGGAATGTCTGATCGACTCTATGATACACGAAATCCCCGCGACAAATGGAACGGCTTCGAGACAGTAATACGATTCTTTGGACATGTATTCGCTCGAAGGCACTGCGAACGAAGCGTAATACTGTTTCAATGCGTCGGCAAAGCGAGTTTCCGCCTCGGTTTTCAGGTTCTGAATGAAAGTGGATTTCGGGTGGGTCGACGTCGCGCAGTCCGAGATGAATTCGATCGAAAGATCGTTCCACACCGAACAGAGAAGCTCGTAGCATGAAGCGGCGGACACAAGACGCTTTGAACCCCTGCGGTTAGTCATTTTAAGGGTGATTAGTTCTAAAAAAGAGGCTCTAAAAGGGATGATTTGAGTAGAAAGGAATATACAAATAGTTTTGTTTGAGCACCTCGTATATCCCTTGGTTCAATGGGGACAGCGACACAAAATCGGAACTATTCACTAGATAAACTCGGATGTTGTATAGTTTTATGGTAAGAGGTTTTGGAGAGCAAAATGTGATTACACAGCAATCTTGCTCGTTCTTTACTAATTCGATTAAAAAGTGAAGATTGCGCATAAACAAAGCGTTTTGGTTGTTTTTCATTTGGGTGTCCAGCCAAAGCAGAAATTGAGACAGTTCTTCCGCACTGACTTCCGTTCTCGAGTGACTAAACAAAATATTCATTTCAATCATGTTTGTACATCCCGTGCTTGTGAGGAACCACGCTGAACACTCTATCAATCGAAGATGAAAACCGATCTCCGCTAATGAATGGACTAAATTTGGACTTTCCATCCGCTGAAAACACTAAGAGTACTTCCATCTTATCGCGGTAAGACAGGTATTTGGTGTCAAACAGATAGCAGTAAGATCGGTAGGGAATGCAGCGATAGAAGAGCTGGAAAGAGTCCAAATAGAACGTATGTGATGGAGAATAGCTTTGTTGCAACTTTGAAACATCTTCAAGACATAAATTATCCTGAAGATAAGAAGGCACATCAGGATGATAATACAATGAAACAATCTGCTTTATCTGATCCAGGGTTAGAGAAAAAGCATTCAACCCTCGATTGAGCAGCTCGCCGTAACAAATATAATAGAAAATATCATCAGACACCTGCAGCTTTTGATCCTCGAGAATCTGCACGATTTCCTTCACACACGAATGGAGCGTTCTATCGATGCTGTCAACCTTATTAACTCCTCGAATATAATTCTTCCTTTTCCATTGTAGGATCAGATCTCCTACAGTCGTTTTCTTTACTTCTTGATGCCACTTTTCTGAGAAATAATTACATATTACGCTATAGGGGTAGTGATTCTTTGACCAATAGTCCAGAATTTCCATCCTCTGTCTGGAGGTCAGCTTTGTATAGCTAGTCTTTGCTTTCGACCGATTCATAGGCTCGAAAACAATTTAAAAAATAGCAAAGGATCGTTAGTTAAAAACAAAAATGATATTCTTTCACTGTTATACTTGTTTATTCACTCTTCGTTGAGGACGACATGAAACCAGTCAGATACGTCAGTCCAGGCACCAGACTGTACATACTGGCAAACAAATTGCGCATAATTACAGCTTCAGGGTCATTCAGCTGCAACGACATTTTGGAATCATTCTCTTTCACACGAATCTGATAAATAAAAGCAATGAACACAAGGAAGCTGAGGACGATTAAACAAATCTCAGCTATGATCACTAGCATAGCAACAACCATGTCTAGTAGAATCAAAAGAAGCAAAAATGAGCAAACTTATCATGTTGGAGTTGATTGTGAGACCAAGGAATTGAGAAAGCAAAGTGAAAATAAAGGATAATACACAACACATCGATGCTGCTGTCCAATAATAGGGCTAAAGAAAAAAGAAAAAGAAGAAAAGAGATACGTTCATCAAGAAGTAGCCTCCGGCACCTGCGAAAATGCTGATTATTCGTAATACAATAACTGCCCATGCTGCATCTGCATTTTATTTATCAAAACGAAAGAGAGTACTCACTGTAAAGGAAAATATAGAATCTTGATAGTACTAGGAATGACAATATTAAAATTGAAGTATACATAGCCATCAGTGACTGCACGATACTCTGTAATGGCCAAGATAATTGATAACGTAGAGATCACAGCAAAACAAATCCCGAGTACTCGCCGATTCTTTCTCGACGGTCGCAAATAATAATCAATTTCTTCATACTCTTCCATGTTGATATCAAAACTAAAAATGTCCATAACTCCTTCTCAAACAAACAGTTCAAGTCAAAAAAGGGTAGTTCCGATAGTAATGCTGTCTGTGATACTCTTCAAAGCACTTTCCCGATCGACAAAAACACTTTTCACATCGTGGGCAAAAAAAAGACGATCGCTTATTTCCTCCGGCTCCCTTCGTCGAACATTGCGAGCAGAGCCTTCGGACAGCCTCCCTTTTGTCGTTCCTCTTCTTCACTAAGAAGTGGACATCATCAGGGAGTAGTTCGTTCAAGGGCGCCGCTCCGGCCCATAGCAAGCTACGAGCAAGTAAAACATCAAACTCTTTCTGATTCCCCGTCTCCACATCCCTCTTCGTCAGCTCATGCTCATCTCCATTCGCATCCCCATTCTTCGCCTGCTGACTCCGCTTCCTCTTCCTCCACTGCCCCTCCACAACGCGAAGAACCAGCTGCAGCGCAAACCAGAGCGTGATCTCGGGCGGTCGCAAACAATTTCGCATGTGTTTGAGGCGCGTCGATTGCTCGCGCGACGGGTGAATTTGCAGTTCGCGGAGCTCCTTTAAAAGCTCCAAAAGAGTTTGCCTCGGCATCTCGCAAAGCAGAAAGGGAGTGAGAGAAGAAACACAAGAAGAAGAAGAAGAGGAAGAGGAAGAAGAGGAAGAAAAAGAAGAGGAAGAAGAGACACAAGGATTGGAGGGAGAATCTTGTGACTGCTCAGAATAGGCGGGATTTTTGGAATTGAGGGGTTGATCTAAAAAGGGGGTATTTTTGGAATTCATAGATTGTTCAGAATAGGCGGGATTTTTGGAATTCATAGAATGCTCAGAATATACGGGATTTTTGGAATTTGATAAATGCTCAGAATAGGGGGTATTTTTGGAATTCATAGAATGCTCAAAAAAGGGGGTATTTTTGGAATCGGGAAGAGAAAGATAAAGATCGAGAATATCTTCATGAGCGAGATCGAGTTCGGGGAATGTGAGAGAGCGGCAGATCTGTAGAGTACGATCGCGAGATAGAGTCAGAATTGACATAGAGCGACATGATGAGGTAGATGATGATGATGATGATGGCGATGAAGAGTTGCTCAGAAATGGAGACTCGGATTGAACCAAAAAAAGAGTTCCGATATATGATAAAATTTCACGAGGAGAAACACGTTGCCACTTCAATTCATGATTCGTCCCTACAGTCGATTCTCCGATAAATCGCTACGATGCTGCTGCTGCTGCTGCTGTACAAGAAGATTATCAAACATGGGAGAGTCGAGGAGACTGATATCCCCGGAATCGTTCTGTAGCGGCAATGCAGGATGGCTCGATGAATCGACGATAAGTCGTGAGTCTGCTAGGTTGGAAATGTTGTCAATAAGCGGAAAAGAGTGATGAGAACATATAGATGGAAGACTGGTTAAGTTGCCAGAAAGCTCCGAAAAAATAGAGTCATGGTTTGTTTCACGGGGTTTACGATGAGTACTTAGAATGAGAGAATAGAAATGAAGATACATAGGGAGTTGCTTTACAGGCGTAATGTTATTGTTGATGCAATGTTGTCTATAGTTATTGAGGTTGGAAATCACATCCATAAGGAAGGGCCCTGCATAATGCAAGAAAATGTTAACTAACTCTAAATAGCAATCGTCAAGAGGAAGCAATTCATGACGTTTGCTGTTCTTTTTGTTCACGCCTAAAAAACCCAGGCTTTCAGGAGCCTTCATATCTCCATTACTAGGTTTCTTTTTACTTTCCTTCACAAAACCCTCTAAACGTTACAGTGTATAAAGCAAACGCACCATTATCGATTCTTAAGATTTTTGCACTTGGAATTAAAGAATTTTCACCCAGAAGAGAATGATCTTTATTTGCCGGTTCTTTGACATGATCCTATGGAATAACTAGTACAATAGAATCATACATGCTCGTGCCGGGCGGATTTCATTCCATAAAAAATTAAAATGGTGTTTAAAACAAAAACAGTAAAAGAAGGATAAAGGAACTGCTGTTGTAGAGCGCGGATTCTTCAGTTTATCGAAGTTCTTCAGAACCAAATCATACAGCGTCGCATAGCAATTCCTCAACGACTTGAAAAACAACTTTAGCATATAAAAATTAAACTCATCAATTTCGTTCAGTCCCTGGATCCGATCTTTCAGCTCTGAATGCTCCACTACCTATTTCCTGAGCAGTTCTCAACAACCAAACCTCTGCCGCAACAGATCCTCGCAGTTTGTAGTACGTGGTAATGCTGTCGAGCATGTACTCAAGCAAATCGATCATTCCGTCGATCTCTCCCACACAATCTCGCTGAACAGACACGCCGAAGTTGTTGCCGTCCTCCATGCGAGGGATGTGCAGAAAGATCCAGAGTTGGACCTGCTTTAAGAGGGGCATCGCCTCTCGGATTTGATTCCGGAGCTTCGAGTTGAGAGACGCGATTTTCTAATCTAATCAGGAACGATGGAGATAGTACTTCGTTTATTGGGAATTCGTATTTCTGGTTATAAACAACGTCTTTTTCTTCGTTCAGAGAAGAGGATGTTGGAGCTTGCTCGGAAGGCTGCGAAGCGTTTTTCTCAATTTCAGAACAGACGACGCGGTTTTCCTTCCTCCACTTGTCGAATTCCTTGCGACTTTCCTTTTTGTACTCGCTCAGCTTCCGGCTAAGCTTCTTTGCGATTTTTTCATACTTTTCTTTGGGAATACACACAATTTCCCGAATCTCTTCAAAAGATTGATGAAACAGGGTTTCGTTCTAAAAGCTAGTTTTACGCGTTCACACATACATTGATAAACTCTGTTAATTCTTTGATCTTATTTGGAATGTCATTGAACAGAATGTGCTCTGCCTTCTCCATTTCCTTAGCGTTTGATTCTTCCACCAATGTAGAAAGACGGTCCTCCTCTTTTTTCTTGTCAGACTTCGGATCTACAGAAGAACAGGGATATCAAACATTACTATGCTTATCTTCTCCTTTCTTTGATCGTTTTCCAGAGAAGTGAGAGTCCTCTTTTCGATCTCGTTTCATCCTTCGTAAATGTAGGAAAATATGAAAATTACTGTCCTGGCTCCAAGTATCGAGCTACGGAACTGCTTGAAGGTGCAAGATCTTTCGATAGAAAGTATAAGAGATAGGTAAGTTACAACAAACAATTCATTGATTTTCATAAATCACGTTCGTTTCTTCATCAAGAAGGAGCTTGTTGCGTGCCACATCTTTGCAAGTCACCTGAAGAGTTCCTCCAACATGAAGCTCGAATTGCAGTTCTAGCAATTGTTCTCCTTTCGGTTGTCGGAACTTTAATGGATTTTCAAATTGCCACGCTTTTATCAAACTGCATTTCTCTATATCAACCTCGTATTTTCCTTCATCCTCAACACATTGATAAGCCATGATCTCAATTCTCGCTGGTTCATCATTCGTGTTTATGAACTTCACTCCCTCTGAGGTAGCGGGAATCTTCATTCCCTTTTTCAGTAATAGCACAACCTTGTTATCACCAGATTTTAAACCATAAGAAATTGCGATTTTCTCAGTCATTTTCACTTTATTAGTAGGATCATTATAGATTTTCGACAATTCATAGGCTCCCCTAGCCACACATGTCATAGGGTCAATTGCTACGAACTTTGTTCGTTTGAGTCCCTCACGATAGAGCAATTGATGGAACGCCATTAGTCGAGAAGAACCTCCAACGAGAAGAACATACGATATCTCGTCTAGTCTTTGGCCTGGCTTATCAATAATAGCCCTCAGAGGTTTAATAGCATTTTTCAAGCAATTCATATACGCTTCAGTTACCTCTCTAAATGGAATCATTATAGTAGGTTCAGGTAAATCATCGCTCGAGCTTAAAAAATCAGCAACATCAAATTCGAAAACAAGACTTTCATTTAATTGTAGAAATCTTTCATAAAAATCAGCATCCTTTGTTTCGCTATTGACGTTTATTTTTTGCTCTTCACACACATTTCTTATTTTTGCAAGTCTCCACTTTTTCATTATCTTCTTTTCTATGTCAACTCCAAAATTATTTTTAAGTCTATCAAGAATAAGTTGCATTAACGCATAATCTATATCATTTCCTCCCAGATTAGGATTACCGCTGTTATCTTCCACGTTAAATATGTCATTTCCTAAATAGCGTATGACTGAGAAATCCAATGTTCCACCTCCAAAATCAACTACCAGTATTTTGTCTTCTGGCTTCAATTTACCTGGTGATTTTTCTTTTGTTTCGACGCACCATGATAATCCTGCGGCTGTTGGTTCATTGATCATTTTGTCGATTTTTAAGCCCGCTCTTCTTGCAGCTTCACGAATTGCTTTTACTTGGTTATCAAGGTAATTCGCTGGCTTAGTTACATAAGCTTTGGTAAATGTTCGTTTACAAATTGTTTCAGCACTTGCTTTTATCCACTTAAATAATTCGCAGGCAACATCTATACAACTAACCTTCTTTGTAGCATCTTCGCTGACGACAAAATATGGATAACCATCATCACCACGAACAACATCACATCCAAATATATCCTTCTTTTCCAACTTCAAATATTCGTCATATGCTTTTCCAATCAATCGTTTAACACAGGTAACCACAAAATGACCCTTTTTTCCAATAAAAAGTTTGGCTGCATTTCCAACAACCACTCCCTTGTCAGTGTAATCTACAAATGAAGGAAATAAGTAGTCTCCCGAATTTTGATTGTTCCATATTTGTTTCACCTCATTTTTTGCATATGCAAATACTACTGAGTTGGTAGTACCAAAATCAATGGCTAAGATCTCTTCCATCCTACTGCTGTCACAAAAAATGATAATGTGAAAATAGAAACTCCCTCAGTTTAAAGCATCGTTTTCAATTCACTCTTCGAGCTGAGTTGTTTTTTTATTTAGGACATGCATATGTAATTTCATAGTAAGACGAGGAGTCTCAACCCATCATTAATAACAGAATAAAACAGAGTTATTCTTTTTTAAGCTTTTGGTTCAAAGTTGGATCTGTTGATGCTGTCAGTCGTTTACTGATCAATATACAGTAAATGAGGTATTAAAAAAGGAAAGCTAGGCTGTATTCGTTTCAGCACTACAGGCTATCATAAAATAAATAAGCAAAATAGCTTGTTTGCTGTTATGAATACTGGATATCTGTGTTGGGTAATAAACACAAGTACACACTACATTTTGTAGGATTATAGACATATTATGGAGGAATACATATTCAGTATTGTTAGACATGATATATAATACCGTAGACCATATTTTATTGATATTGCAAGAATGTTGAGCAACTTTTCTTCAGGCATACATATCTTAACTCAAAGTGGTAGTATACAATGTTAATACTAGTTTATAACGAATAATAGAAACAAGCTATACTACTCGAATAGTGAAATGATCCATTTTGTTACAATTAGCAGTGACATCGAAATATGTGCTATGCACAACACGTTTAAAGTCACAAACAATTATCTTAAAACAATGAGAAGACTACTATTATATGCATTTACAAAAGTAAAGGATATAGCCCCATATTTTTCCAACAATAATATTAACAGTGGCGGTAAGTGAAATACAGACCAAAATCACAGAAGTCCGCTGATTGGTCGTGACTCTAACTTGACCACTTTCCGAATAGGAAGAAGATTTTATGGACATGCTTGTGTTTTCAGTTGATATGGAGGTGGAAATGCAGTTCTTCTCATTTATGTTCTCAGAACTACATCCTTTCGTTGCTTCTTCAGCAGCAATATAGGAATCTTGATAATGACGAACTTGTACACGAATAGAATCACTAGATTCAGATCGATAAGTCGGGATTTCGTATTTATTGTGATAATTACATCCAGCTGCATTATAACTCAATCCTCGTAAACTAAAATGTCATCATTCATTAACCAATAGAATACTTCATGTTATCAACATTCCATGTGTTTTCTGAAGGTTTCAATCGAATACAAATGTCATTTAAGTATTTGTCTATTTGACAAGTCATTGTGACATTGTTCAAATGACCGCCCTCTGCCAAACATAAACTTTCACATCGTTTCCTATATTTCAATACTCTATCGATATACCATACTTATCATTGGAACAGTCGAAATCATAGATATCATAAACATATTGAATATGTCGTGGATATGTTTGTGAGAAGATGATATGATCTCCATGTTTCAACAAAATGTCGATATTATCATTTGAGCTCAATTGTGTTTCATAATAGAGAGCATCTGTCGTGATACAGCCTTCAGTGGGATCACTGTTTTGTTTACATTCATCTCGAATGGGATAATAATTTCCGTCTGTAGTAGTGACTTTCTCCATCACATTTTCGTTGACTTTGAACACGAGTCCATCGAACTGTTTAATTCCGTTTGTTTTCCATTCATTCGCAAGTATATTATATCTATAAGTAAATATATGACAATAGAATAAGTAGATTACTTGTTAATCTCTGTGTTTCTTGAAGCATAAACAAGCGATAAAACGAAGCAGTATAGAATGAGAGACATAATTGATAATGGAATGAGTGGATATAGAATACAGAAAGGAATAAATATATATATAAATGTATATGAATGTTATATAATAATGTTGAGTTCTGTTATAATTAAACATAGATGTCAGTTTACTGGAAATCAATGAATACAAGTAGAATTATGTATTATAAGCATACCATTACGATTCCCTGCCTTGAACAACATGTGTGTGATCGCTAACTTGAAATCTATAGATTACAGTATAGTAAAACGCTAAGCAGTATCAAAAGTCCACTCCAAATCACAAGAAATTTGGTGAAAGGGGCTGATATCCCTCCTCATTCATCGAGTGATGCCAACAAACATAATAATCACCTTCATAAAGTACATCAGCTTTTTCGTCCAGCAATACTTCGTTGTATGCAAAATCCTTACAAATCACTTGAAGAGTTCCTCCAACTTCCAACTTAAAACGTAGTGTTAACTGTTGTTGTCCTCTAGGTCGTCTACAGTCTTCTGGATTTATAAACTGCCAAGACTCGACCTCTGTACATTTCTCAATATCAACCAATTCTTGTCCCTCATCATCTTCACATTGATAAACACTGATATTAATTCTTTCAGGATAGTCATCGCAATTACAAAACATTTTCTCTGCGGAAGTACAAGGAATAGTCGTTCCTTTGCTTAGAATAATTGCCACTTGGTCATTTCCAGATTTTAGTCCATAAGAAATTGCAATAGGCTCTGTCATGCTCATTTTTGTTTTTTTATCGTTCATAATGAGCGCTAATTCATAAGCTCCTTGAGAAACACAGTTCATTGAATCGATTTTCTCAAATAGTTTTCGTTTAAATTGCTCCTTATATAGTAACTGACGGAAAGCCACCAATTGAGAAGAACCTCCAACTAATAGAATGTGTGACAGTACACCTGACTTTTGACTTGGCTTGTCTGTAATGTAATGAAGAGGCTTTAGTACTGCAGATTCCATGCAATTCATAATTGCTTCAGTTACTTCCCTAAATGGAATTTCAATGGTCTCAATCTCAGTAGTTAAGTAGGATACATCGATTTCGTATGTAAGGTGTTCATTCTTCCTTAAAAAGCCTTCATAATTGTCATCATCCTTAGTCTTCATATTGACTGCTATCTTGACTTCTTCACAAATGTTCCTTAGTCTCGCCAGTTTTCGTACAGTTCCTTTCTTCGATTTGTCGATTACAACATCATAGCCATCCCTCAATTTAGCTAAAACAAGATCCATTATTGCATTATCTATATCATTTCCTCCTAGGCATGGATTTCCAGCGTTATCTTCAACTTTAAATCTGCCATTTCCCAAATATCGGATCACAGAAAAGTCTAAAGTGCCGCCTCCAAAATCAACTACAAATACATTGGTGTCTTTTTTTAACGTAGGAAAGAGTCCTTTCACTGCAGTTTTACACCATGATAATCCTGCAGCTGTTGGCTCAGTGATCATTTTGTCGATTTTTAAACCTGCTTTCTCTGCAGCTTTACGAATTGCTTTTACTTGGTTATCAAGGAAATTAGCTGGCCTTGTTACATAAGCTTTGGCAAATGTTCGTTCACAAATTGCTTCAGCACTTGCTTTTATCCACTTAAATAATTCGCAGGCAACATCTATGCAACTTACCATCTTCGATTCATCTTCACTCACAACAAAATATGGATAACCATCATCTCCACGAACAACATCACATCCAAATATATCCTTCTTTTCCAATTTCAAATACTCGTCATATGTTTTTCCAATCAATCGTTTTACACACGAAACTACAAAATGACCAGGTTTACCCATATTAAGTTTTGCTGGTTTTCCTACTTTCACTCCCTTGTCAGTATATTCAACAAATGAAGGAAAAGAGTAATCCCCTGAGCCTTGATTGTTCCATAACTGTACTCTATTTTTGTTATTGAATGCACATGCAGTAGAGTTGGTAGTACCAAAATCGATTGCTAAGATCTCTTCCATCTCTGTAAAATTAACAATACAAAATATGTGGTCACTTTTTGTGAAACTCCCTCAGTTTCCTCAAATAACAATTCGTTTTACACAAAACTGCTGTCTTTTTGTTTTTTAAATCAAAGATCAAGCTAATACAAAAGTCGCCTACTAGTATTACTGTCGCACAAACAATATTATTTCTCTAAGAGTTTTGGAGAGCCTGTTACAATAAATACTTGCAGAAACAATGCTTCTGATAACAAACAGTTCATTCCCAACCACTTGACGTAGGAATATGGAAGTTCTCTGAAGGTAATGTTCTCCTCCGCTCTCGAATTTCTTCTCTTCTTCTCTCCTCTCTTCTTTTTCGATGCAGTCGCCTCTCAGCATTACGATAGTCTTCCATGTCCTTTTCATAAATACACGTATTTCCATGGTCACTATCACATCTATAAATATCTTTATCAATCTTCACATTATCAGCGGCAACATCGGAATCATCATCATCATCATCATCATCGCTGTTTCGGCTCTGCACTTCTCTTTTCATATCGCTCTCCGAAATACTGACCTCCTCCGCTTCCATCTGCTTGTACTTCCCATTCTGCAAAAACTCATCGCGATCATTCCTCTGCTGATACACAAGATCGAGTGTGCCTTGTTTCTTCTGCTGCTCCTCGATTTCCTTTATCATCCTCGCGATCTCCTGCGGCGAATGATTCTACTGAGTAGCCCGCAGCGGTCCTACAGTGTCGATAATGTCCATTCCAGTGAGCAAAAACAGCGACAAAATCGGTTTGGGGCATTTCAAGCGAGGAATCAGCTCTGGATTCTCGATCAGCTTCTGCCGAAGCTTCTGGATCTCCTGAATCGTGTATTTCTGGCAGTTCGCTTCGTATTCTTTCTCGGAGAGATAGACATGCTTCGGAGCGAAGAGCTTGTTCCATCTGCACCTCACAAACCCGATCAAATCGAACAATCGCGAAGTGATTGCGCTGATTCTCTTCATCAGGACGAAGAAAACGGGGAAGGACAGCAGCGAGAACGTCACCGACGCCGTCGAATTCATGATCAGCGTGAAGGAAATCACTTTCAATCCCCAGCGAACCGTGTCGAACAGCGACGTGGGCTGCGCTTGCGGCCCCGAAAACACTTTCATTCGGACGAGCAGCACGCCGATAAACGCGAAAACGGCCATGTAGACGAACACTAATTGGTAGTGTTCCACGACGAACTTCCAAATGAACGTCTGGAACCAGTGGCGGAAGAAGGAAGTGAGGCCGACCGAGTATGTGACGGCTGCGACGCCCATCGCGGCGTTGTTGGAGCCGTATCGCTTGATAACGAAGAAGAGGATGAGGAGAATGCCGAAGAGGGCGGAGAGAGAGGCTGCGGTGAAATAGTAGAAGCCTTTGGATTGGCTGAGACTGTGCATGAGGGAGGGGAGAGAAGAAGCAACCGGTTCGAAAAGGCGAAGAGGAAGAAGCCAAGAACGAGACGGAGTGGGAAACCGTAATCGAATTCTGGATAAGGAGGAAAGCGCAGAACGTACCGTATCGTCTGGAAACGGTTATTTCCATGTAGCCTCCTTCGGTACCCTGCCTGAGCATATACTGGAAGCAAGTGGGCCCATAGGGAGACAAATAAAACTCGGTTTGCTTCTTTGTAGCGTCTTCTCGTGAATCGTAGAGCGCGTTCATGTTAAAATCGTAATCCCTATGGTAGTCACATTTTTGAAAATCCATACTCCCACACTTTACCTATCAAAAAAGTAAATGCTCGAATCAAGTTGCTATCTGGGCTGTCGATCCGATAGGAAAGTTCCCTGTATGAGTAGGGGACGGTTACAACCATAACATTCCAAATATCAAGTGGCGACCATGATCCTTTGATGCAGTATTTTGTATGCTTATTCGGCCCCACCTATATAAAGATATTCCAAATGGGGCCGTACTTCTATATCTTCCGTTATAGTTCTTGCAGATCCTTCGGTAAATAAGAATAAAAATACAAGTGAGAATATAGCCAATGCATTTAAACTACTACACACTCTCATTGTATTTTCGTTATGTATTTTTCTTTACATATGACCTGGCTATCAGTCTCTAAGATTACACACTCTCTACCTAAGTGAAGCCTTTTTAGCTCAGTTGGTAGAGCACCCGCCTTGTAAGCGGAAGGTCCTGGGTTCGATTCCCAGAGGGGGCATTCTCTATCTATTGTTTCGGCTGCTCTTCCCTACTATTTTTGTTTGTACCTGTGAAATGCTCTCTCGCTTTTCACTCCTGAGACAGGCTGCTCCCAATCCAATTTTGCTGAGGAGAGGCTTTTCTTCCTTGCTATCCACTCCCGCTGCCTCCAAGTCTTTTTCTCCTTGTGCTCTGAGGAGTATGCGATTGGGACAGACTATTTGCCGTCGAGAATTCGCTTCCTCGGGCTCCACTTGGAATTTCCCCTCCAGAACGCTCGCGTTTTTTGCCCTTTCGTCGTTGGGCATCGTGGGAGGCTTTTACGTAATGTCCTACTCAATGAAGGTATTTGTACTATTTGCTTTTGAGTGTAGCGCTCCAATATCTATGCGGAAACGATGAATATTGTAGAAAGATGTCCTCTTGTAACAGATATCACGGGAACTCCTGTGGAAGAGAAGGGTTTGATCAAAGGTAAGATGGCGCACGGAGTAGCCGACATGCACTTTCTAGCGAAGGGGCCGAAGGGGGATGTGCACATCTCTCTGACGGGTAGTCGTCTTATGCAGAGTCGTAATCCTCAGGAAAGCTCCGGAAGGACAGCAAGGTGGACTACGACCTTGTTTCCGTCGACGTTCACTCTTCTTCCAACAAAAACCAACCGATAAAGCTTGTGGAAGGGGGGAATGTGATTGTGCCTTTAGTGGAAGCTGTTCGTTCTTTGTAGTATGTGTTTGCTTATCTATAGCCTATTTCCGTAGTTGCTGCCGAAGAACCTGCCGATCCAGAAGCGAAGAGTAATGCAGCGGCTACCGCCCCAAAACAGTACGGATTCCTGCTCGACAAGCCGTGGTACTATCGAGTGGGTCTTGCGGTGGCGTGCGGCGTGGTTCTGGGCGTCATCTCCTCGGTGATGATCATGAGCTTCCGCCAAGCCCCCAAGAACTCCTCCGCCTATCAGAGTTTGCTGTCTCTGCTGAAGGAGAACCCGATCTCGCGCGATCTGCTGGGCGAGAATGTAGCGTTGCAGGACTGGTTGCATGTAGATCAAGAGCGCGGGCGAGCTGGTGGGCAAGAGCGAGGAGAACTGGGCGAACTTCTCCGTGAAGATGAGCGGGAAGAAGGGCGCGGGCACTGTGCACTGCCAGGCGTTCCGGCAGGGCGATTCGTGGCGATTCACGGTGGTCTCGCTGGACAGCGCAGGGAAGCGCGTCTATCTGTGCAAGTGGCTTGTTTTCTCGAACAAACACACGACAAAGCGGAAAGTTTCCAAGGGCAATTTGATTAAATCTTGGAATAAGGTACGGACTTCATGATGTTGATGTTCTTCTTTCCTCCTCTGACGGCGCTGCGAGCACGGACCTTCTTCTTGTCGCTGCGGAACTTGATGACGATGACGACCACAATGATCAGCACGACCACAGCCACGATGATCAACGTAAGGAACGTGTTCTCGTTCATGCACACACCGATCGTCATTCCCCACTCGGGCTCGTTCTTGCCCATTCGGCAGGTGCGGCGCAGCGTTCCCGACGAGCCCTCCACCGCGCAGTCGTACGTCGCCGTCTCGCCGATCGGCGTTCGGTCGAACTTCTCGTCCGGCTCGCACCAACCGATCACAATTCGCATCTTGAACGAGGCTCGCGCAGATCCCATGTCGTTGTACGCGGTCACCGTGTAAGTTCTCGAGGCCATCTCCTTCGTCGGGGTGCCAACGATCTCTCCCGATTTCTGGTCGATCGACAGGCCTTCCGGCAGCTGCGGCTGGATGTCGAAGCCGTCGACCAGGCCGTACCAGTCGGGCTTCACGCCGCTGGCCTCCGCGTTGACGTAGATTCTGTACTCCGGCTCCGTGTAGGCGAGGTTGGTGGGAGCGAACTTCTTGCACTTGTCCAGAATGATGTCGCCGAGACGATTATCCTTGCACTCGCGGTACGAATAGCCGTCGTAGTTCTCGGGACACACGCTCACCGATATCTGGCCATCTCCGGTGGACGGATACTCGCCCACGCCCGGACAGAACTTGGTGGTCTCGAAGGGGCAATACGCGAACTCGATCTCATCGATGGTGAAGCCGGAAGGCAGCTGCACGCGGTCGAACACGAACATGAACTGGTTGAAGCCGATCAGACCGTTCGGCACGTTCTTCTCATACCGAGAACGATCCGGGAACCTGGCGCTCTTCATCTGGTCGAACGTGTACCAGACCTTGTCGTCCGCGCGTCTCGCGTAGATCGTGAAGTCGATCTCTCCGTGGTTGCCGTCCGTGTAGATGCGGTACTGGTTGAACAGAAGGCCGTCCAGATTCTCGTAGGTGAAGTTGAAGTAGGTTCCCTGGACCCAGTCCCACGCAATATAGTTCGTAATACTGTTATCGAACAGCGCGTAGGTGTAGCCGCTGGTCGGCGTCGTGCTGTAGTACGAAGCCACGTCGGCGCGCACCGGGGCGCAGTCGCCAGTCGCCAGAACCGCGTTCACGTTGAACTTGCACAGGTCGGTGGTGGCCTGCGTGGAGGTGCGGTGCAGCTCGAAAGCCAGCACGTTCTCACCCGCCTTCGCTCCCTTCAGCTGCAGCGGGATGGAGAACTCGACCAGACCCCAGGTGGAGCGGTCCTGCGTGGCGTCCGTGTCGTACGTGACCTCGGTGGGCATGTTGCTGCGGTACACTCTCGCGCCATTCAGATAGGCCACGATACCCGCGCCATAGTTCACGGCCACGTTCAGCACAGGGTACGTCGTCAAGCTCGGGATGTTGAACTTGTAGCGGAAGTAGCGGGTCTTGCCGTCGTACGCGATGTCGTCGCCGCCTCGCTTCGCCTCCCACTCCGAATCATCGTAGCTAGTCGAGTACCAATTGCGGCTCGCAGCCTTGCCCGCGAAGGACTTCCACTCGGTCTTGTCCTGCGTGGCCACGATGTTGGTACTGAAGGTGTATGTCTTCGAGACAGGTCGCTCCGAGCCGCTAGGAACCGTTCCGAAGCCGAGCGAGTATCCCTGGCTCGTCAGGATGCGGTAGCCGGCGGGCATGCGCCAACCGTCCGTATCGGCGTCCTGGAACTTGAAGGTGTAGATGTCCTTGTCGAGACAGAAGTACTTGTAGTGGAACTGGTTGCTGTACTCCAGTCCGTCCTCCTTCTGATAGACGGGCTCGCCGCTCGCAGAAGCTCCCTTGTACAGATACCAGGTCTGCTCCTTGGGGAACGAGTCCGAGCGAATAATCAGCTCGATCATGGCCTTGTCGCACTCAATGATCTGGAGGAAAAGCACGGTGGTGGAGAGAGTGCCGTTCAGACGACGCGCAGTAATCGTGTGCTGCGTCATCGGATAGAGCGTCACATCCGTTCCGCGAATGATACCCGTGACACTATCGAGAGTGAGGAAGCTAGGAAGCTTGGGAGAGGCCGAGAACTGCTTGTAGTAGTGCGAGTTGGGGTTCAGATCCGTGAAGTCCACGTTCAGATAGCCCGTCGAGTTTCCGTTATAGCTCAGTTCGGGCATTTCGTGGGCAATGGAATCTGCGTACAGAGCGATCTCCATCAGATCGATCGTGCAGAGCGAGCCGGGCGCGGTGAGCTGGCTGAAGCGGTACTTGTTGAAGGGCTTCGTGTTGTAGACCCACACTTCCTTCTGCTGGCCGCGCGACCACCACAGCGAGTCCGTGACATTGTCCAGATCGGTCCAGTCGGCGTCCTCCGGGTTCTTGGCCTGGAACTTCCAAGCGGACGTGGCGTTCTTGTTGTTCTGCGTGCTGGAAACGATCACGTACTTGGAGATCCACTCACGACGGTCGTCGTTGAAGGAGATCTCGACATATCGGTCTTTACTGCACGAAGTGGACGTGTAGAAGGTCGTGGAGGACATATCGAAAAGGTTCTCAACGCCCTGCGCATCCGTAGCCGTCGCAGTGAAGTCGAAGATGCGACCCACGCTCTCGCGACCCGTCAAGTGGAGAGTCGCATCGAAGTCGGAAGTCTTCTGAGACTCCGAAGCGGCAAGCAGCAGAATGGTAATGACGTTCGTTCCCTTCTTCAGGATCTGGTGAACCTCGTTATCCTCAGTGCTCGGAAGAGCAACCGGGAAAGACACACGACGGTACTTCAGTTCATCGTAGCTGTCCGAAGCAGGATCCGTAAGGTTCTCGTTCTCAATATCGATGTGGTTGCGGAACAGCTCGTATCCATTCACCACCACCACGCATCCGTGCTTGTAGCGAATGCCCATTTCAAACATCGATCCTCGAAGGTCATCTTCCAGAGTGAAGCTCTTCTTGTAAAGCTGAATGTGGTTGGAAGACTCCTCGAACTCTCCCTTCTTTCCCTTCTTCCAGTCCTCCGGAACCGTGCTCTGCTTCCAGTCCGAAGGAAGCTCGCCCATCTTGTACGACCACTCGCTTCCGCGAGGAATCGTGTCGCCCAGGTAGAGCGTGATCGAAGGAGAGTAGCCCGAAGCAAGATCGTACTTCCACTTCACGATCGTCACCGTCTCGTCGTCATAAACCGTGTTAATCTTGATGTAGGAGTTCACATCCCACTGGTTCGTCGAAATCTGATCCAGAGACAGCTCATAGAGACCGCTCTCCACGCAGTATCGGTTCTTCACCGTGGTGGATGCCTTCTGGTTCGAGTTCTGCCAGACCGTCTCCACAGCCGCTCCGGTCTTGACGTTGTACAGCGTGTGCGTTTCGTAGGCATAGCCAGAAGAGCCGTACGTGCGCTCCACTTCAATAATCGTCTTGTCACACTCCGTAACAGTCAGCTTGAACGACGCCTCCGTGCTGAAGGGCTTCGAAGCCGAGATGGTGAACGTCTCATCCACAGTGGCGGTGGGAATACCCGTAACCGTGCAGGTAGCGGGGTCGAGCGACAAGCCGGCAGGGAGCGAAGGACGCACCGTGCAAGTGTTGAAGCCATCGTAGATAGGACCCACGTTCACAGAGCTCACACGAGCCGTCGCGCTAACCTGCTCATAGTTCAGCTCCATGCTCTCGGGCACGGCATAGCGACAAGTCAAGAGCGCCATTTCGTTGAAACGAAGATTGCCAGTTTGGGTCTCCTTAATCTCCATGCGCAGAAGCTGGTAGTTCTTCTCGTTCGTCACCAGGTTAAACTGGTTCTCGTCGTTGCTTCCGTACTCCACGCCCTCCTTGTTCAGAAGACGCTCATCGGCCGAGGAAGCTCCCTTCTTTCCTCCGTAAAGAATGAAGGAGGAGGGATGCTGGGTGCGAGAGTAGTACGTGTTGATGCTGAACGCGTTGATCTGAGGAATCCAATTGCTCCACTGGACCTGCACGTAGTGCTCGGCTTCGGTCTCGTACCAAGAGGACGTAACATCGAAATCAAACGCTTTCTGGGGACCATTGTAGGCGCTAACACTCTTGTCACTGTCGGATGTGATCGTGAAGGTCTCATAGCTTCGGTAACAGCCTGCGCAGTAAGCGAGAATCACACACAATCAATCCTACTGGATCCGAAGTCGGCAGTGTAGGGAGCGAGGAACGTTCCGATTCTAAGCGAATGGGAATCCGAATCTGCAAAGTGGAACTCCATAGCAACCACGTTGTTCTCACCCTCCACTTCCAATCCGTTACGAATGATGCTGTGGTGGGTCAGATATCCATAGTCTCCAGTACTCGACGTCGAGGCCGAAACAGCGCCACTACACCTCACCAGTCAGGATCAAATCGTACTCAGGCATGTTATCACGGAACACTTCCTTTCCATTCACATAGATAACCACACCATATTGCAAATAATAAGTCAACTCATAAGCAGCCATGTTCGAAATTCCAGTAAATCGGTGGCGAACATACACGGTTCCCGAATAGTAGGCATTCGTGTTACCCTCAACGGTGTCCCAATCTTCATCGTTGAAACTTGCAACAATCCAGTTCGAGCTGCTCTGAGCCGTATTAGTCACTTGCCAAGAAGAAGATGTTTCAATGAGATACATCACTACAAATTAGAGTCCATAAAAGGCTCATTACGAGCAAAAGTATGTCGCTCTTCAGATTTCTCAGTCATAAATCCAAAATAGACAAGCTGACCATCCGGTCCGAGGATACGAATATAAGCTCCCGCAGACCAGGCATCATTAGCGCTACGCCTCAGAAAATGCACTGTTCATCAAACCTGTCCTTCATAACGAGGGTGTACATGCCGTCTGATGTTTTCCTAATACAATGATAGTAGCTACGGATAGCATTGTTCGTAAAGGTTTCGCTAGTAGCAAGCAAGACATCATTGTGAAGGATTTGGTAAGACTCTTCACTAGCCCATGCAAGTGTCTTCTTTTCAACGCGAATCTCGTACTCACTTGAAGTACAACTATCCACTACGGCAATTACAAAAACTACGGTTAAGAGCCACATGCAGAATAATCTTACGTGCAAATAGCAAAATAGCCTTCATTTTATTGGAAAAAATGGATCGCATTTTAAGGAGTTTCAATGAAATAGTTCATCCAATCCCCTGAAGGAATGCCTGTTACTTACTATTGGCACAGATAAACAATACAGGAATAAGGAAAAGTCTATTGGACTATTCTTATGTCAAGATGAGAAATGATTTGGTGCACTCACTGATCTTTTCGGATATTTTACGAAATGGTGTATACAAGCATTTTACCTGCTCCATATCATCTATTTCGATATAATTGCAAGCGAATTTGTAATGTCTATGCCCTTAATATATTCTCTTCTAAAATTCTATTAATCAATGGACACCCAGGGGTTCATAATATAACCTTGTTCCATTTCCTAATTCTGATTATTGTACTCTTTGTTGAATATTCTTTTCATATAAATATATCTCCTCGCCATTCTGTTTACCTAGTATTTTATCAAGACTGAATGCTAATACACTAGAGGAGTTTGGATAATAAAAGGGGTTAACAAACAGATATTCCAACATGAAAAGGATAGTAGACATGTTTGAAAATAGAGCAGTGACACAATTCACTATGACTTCAGCGCTTTGGATACTTTTAGAAATTTGACGGGTAAATCAAAAAGGAGAACAGCTCAAAAATGTGAAAGTTCCACTGGAAAAGAGAGAAAACTATTAATTCTAGTTGATTTGCTATGTTCCGTATGATTCAACACTCTGTCTTCTTGTACACACTTATACGACATTTTAGCAAATGGTTTGGCTTTGTCAGGGAGAGGAGGGTTATATATATATAGAGAGAGAGAAAATAGTTATTAATAACTCTAAACTGATAAGTATGTACAGTATTGATTCATCTCACTGATTCTCTCAGACTCAGGAATTCGACTCTTTTGCGAATATAATAATAATAAAAACAAAATGGGTTTGCTTAGCCAGTAGCTGTTGTGATAAAATGAATCACTAAGACCAACATGGATTTTCTGTTAATGTCCAGTTTGAATAAGTAGGCATCCTCCATAAATATCGTTGCGCCCCTGATAAATCGATTCTCCTGTTTTTAAAATCTTGTAGAGTCAGATTCTTCCCTTTCTGAATATGATCTGTGATACAAAGAATACGCCCATGATAAAACGAGAAATCAAAAATTGACGCAGTTCATCGTATAGGAACAAAGCCTGCCTAATTAGACAACGACACGTATTATCTCATGCATAAACATAATAAAGATTCAATCAGTAATATATATTGAATCTTCATTTGAAGAAACTATGATATACTAGTCTAGTGTTTCCAAAGAAACACCGATTCACAACACATTTTGTCAATACAACTGCATGTCCATTATTGCTATTTTTCTATTGCTGTAGTAGTAGGTACAAATATGTTATAAACACCAGATAATGACATATTTCGTTTTGAACCTTCTTTTAGAAACAACTAATATCTCGTGAGTGATATCGAGATTAAAAAAGAATGCTATCTAGAAGAGTATAATATGGTTCTTTGGTAAGAGATTGCATACACTCCATCAAGTTAACGAAGCTTTTATTTTTCAGCAAGTTTGCATGCAATAAACTGCTTTTGGTCAGTCGAAATAAGAACAATGATGATTTTAAAAACAAATCTTCTCTATACACTGAAACACTGAAGTTCACTGATAATAATTTAAAAATAGAATTTGTAATGATATCGTTACTGGTAGCTAGTTAGGCCTATTTATCAAAATGGTCTGAAGAAAGGTATACTGTAATAATAGGAATTCACAAATGTGTTGCAAAAATAAAATACGTGATATGATTTCACAGAACAATTCCCATGTGTTCATGCTTTCCAACAATTACAATTCTATCTCCAAAATCATTTGTAATTATGGATTTTTTATATCAATCCATAATAAAAAGATAGAAATCGTAATAGAAACGTAATCGAAGCAATAGGAGTATCATACTTCACTGAAAACGATCTTATGCTATAAGAAAACAAAGGCCATATCCATAAGATGGAAAAAGAAACTATAAAAAGAAAATAAGAAAAAGTATTGGTCAACCTTGCCGGCGATTCTCATTACAAAATATCATTCAAGGAATTAGGAAAATATGGAGAGTTTGCTTTCTAAAAACTATATATATTTTAGATCCGGTTGACGACTCTACGAAATCCAAGTATATACTCTCTGATTACATATATGGAGAAAAGAAGATAATACAAATAGAGGAAGCAAAGTACGAAATCCAGCTTTTTGAGGGAGAGCATTCAGGCGAATACGTAGTTAGTGAAATGAGAGATGAAAGAGTGGATGGTCGCTGCCAGTTATTTGACCATGGTGTTTTGTCTTTGGCCTGGAATATTAGAGATGGAAAACGAGTTGGAGCGATTACCGAGTATGAAAATGGAAAGGTACTGTATAAAAGAAACTGGAACTCAACTGTTTCGGATGAAGAAAAAAGAGTCGTGGAAAATTCAAAAGATGGGTTAGTTTTGACCATTACAATAAAATCTGAATCCGATGGAAGCGATATTGAAATATATAGAGGGAATTTTGATGTGGATATGAATCGAAATGGATACGGTCTAGAATATGACCGAAAGACCGGAAAGGAAAAGGTCGAAGGCTATTGGGAGAAAGACAAGCTTATTCGTATTATTCGGGAATTTGATGTTAAAAAGGGAAGAATGTTCGAATATACGGAAAGTGAAAATGTAAAAGTATGGAATCGGATTCCTGTGTATGTTGGAGGATATTGCTTGAAGAATGGATCATTTGTGAGAAATGGAAAGGGTTGCTTGATCGATGAAGTGAGTGGAGCAGCCATCCGTGAAAGTGAATGGAAAGAGGGAAAAGAAAAAGAAGGAACTGATATGTTTGAAGGATGGTATGTGAAAGGAATGAAAGAAAGTATCCGCAGTGTTTTGAAAAACGAGAAACCCGGAGAAATGAGCTGTGCTCCTGAGGAAGTGCTGAATGTTACTGAGGAGAAGGAAGTGCTGAATGTTACTGAGGAGAAAATAGCGAGTCGTATCCCGGTAATGGAGAGTGTAATTCCTGAAGAGAAGAAGGATGTTTCGGTAAAGAAGAACGTTCCTCCCAAAACGAAGAAGGCTCCGCTTGTGAGCAAGTATTTTGATGATAGTATGATTTCTGCCTATATGCAGCAAATAAAGTCTGTGACCAATACGATCAAAATACCCGAACAACCGAAGGTCGAGGAACCACCCTATCCAGATTTCCAATCGACTCTTTTCCAGATTCCTTCAAAAAGCTACAACGCAACGACTGAGTTGGATTTCTCGAAGTTTGCCAATCTATTATGGATTGAAATCAATGATTATTGCTTTGCTTCCGTCCAAGTCTTCAAGATTGATGGATTGCCCCAGTTAAAGAGCTTGAAAATTGGACGGAATTCGTTTACTAAAGCAAGCGATCCTGACAGTAAAGATGAGTCCAAATCATTCCATGTTTTGAATTGCGAATCATTGGAGTCCATTGAAATCGGAGAGTCCAGTTTCTGTGAATTTGCAGGACAATTTGAATTGGCGAATCTTCCTTCCCTACAGTCCCTCCATATTGGTACAGTTGAAAATGATTCAAACAATTTCGGTTTTAGTTCCTTTGTTGCTCGAAGTATGAGTAATGCCTGATTCTCTAAGAATAGATCTTCCCAAACTAAAGTCGATTGAGTTAGGGAAGGGAGCGTTCCATGATTCTTTATCAACCGTTATCGAAGGTTTGTGTCTTAACTTCAGTCGTAACTTAAATAGACTTTCCTTCCTTAGAAACAGTGAAGCTTGGAAAATACTGCTTTGAAGGAGTTAAGAAAGACGCTTCATGCTCTTTGGTCATGCGTAGTAGGGCGAGATTGGATAAAGATGACCGAATCTAGACCTTCCCTGTTTAAAGTCGTTCAGTTCTGAGGGATGGAGCTTCCGATATGTTCGCGACGTGACAATCGAAAGTATGCCTCACTGAGAATCCTGATTGGTCATAGATTTGCCAAGTTTGCAGGAGGTTAAACTACCGAATTCTTTTAAGATTGTAAAAACAATTGCAATCGAGAGTAGGAGTAAAAATCGTTGCTAATTTCTAGACGTTCATGACCTTCTGGTGGATCTTCTCAAAGGATACATCAAGTAGGAGTCGAATTGTTGAAAGTTCCTGGTGCTATGACTCTCTCTCTATTGTTTGTTGATAATATTCTCTCTGTCTCTCTCTCTTTCTGATTGAATGGAGGGGTTGCCTTCAAAAAGAATTCAAACTACTGCTTCAATAACAGATTCCATATCTCTTCATTTCCATCATTGATATTTTACTCAAAGCATGGGAATGGACTATAGATATTGTAAAACAAGCAGGATTATATCCTGTCCAAATTATAACTTACGTGATACACACAAAATATGATCATTTCGATAATTACTCTATATGTTTGGTGTATAAGTGGGGTCATGGAGTTTGCAATGGAAACAAACTGCTCAGTGCAATGATTAAAAAAGTACAAATGAGTTAAACTATTAGGCCTTTTTTGGTAAACACAGCAATACCCAATAATGAGTAATCCGTATGGAATAGCTTCTCTCTTGCCACATTGAGGTTGAGAAGGTACACGGATCAGAGTTTTCCTATCACACATCCCTATTTTTCTTAACACACTAACAGGATGTTAAAAGCTCTCTATAGCCAAAACGTACCCTACAAAACTCTATGAAATCACAACTATGTGTGTCATATTATTCACTGCGCTGTATTATAACAGCATGTTTACTACATCTCCTTTCACACTTATAATCATGCGATTCGACTAAATGTATTGCTCATACTGATTATTAAGCAAGCACTGTATAATCAGCCATGATCAGTCTACGTTGAAATGCTCATGAATCGAAAGCAGTAAATGTATCTTAAAGGAATTTTAGAATTTCAGCATGATATACACCTTCAATTATCCAAATTCGCATTTTCCAGAAAAAAGCACGCAAAAAATCGGGACTATTTTTGAATGGTCAGGTTGTTCCACTCATTTAGTTTTTTGTGATGATCACTATCTTGGTTTTCTTAATTTTGTCACAGCTGTTATACGCTAAACCTGTATATCCCTGTAACAATGATGGCTATAACCTGTACTTGGCTGATTACCCTTCTAAGTGTGGTGAGAACTGTGATTCATACAGAATGTAGTTTATTGACTCGTTGCCTGATGTATAGGAGATATTATAACAATTTCTTTCACTCGTGTAGCCAGATTGATAAGAAAGCAGAATTCAGAAACTACCCCATGGCCTTCTCTATTTTGTCTGATTTTGACGACCAGCACTTGGAAACAATGATGGATCTCGGTGTGAAATATACCGGTCTTGGTTCTTTTGCTAATCCTGACGACATTAATCAACCTAACTATAGTCGTAACTATACTCCTCGTGATTTGTGTTCTGGTTTTGATAATTTGTCCACATCTAACTCTGTTCCTACCTCATGGGCAAGTTCAATTATTATTGCGGCAGAAGCTGCTCTTCACGACCGGGATCATGATGATGTTACTCTCTCTCTAGCCTATGTATATGAATGTTTGCCAAGGATTAACGAAGTGGCTCTTAGCGATGTATCTCCCACTGAGATTATTGAATTCATCGCAGAAAATGGTTTGATGAGTGAAAATACCTACAACAGGTTGAAGTTAAATGAGGAAGACATTTGCACTGCAGATGCGCCCAAGTTCTATTTTGAAGTGGTGAAGAACGATCTTCCGAACAAGAGCGGATTGATGAACTTCATTGCTGAGGGCAATCCTGTGATTGTGCTGATGGCTCTTGATCTGATTCGTCTGAAGACTGTGAACGATGTGACAGGCGATGACATTTACACGGGAGCTACGGACGAGCCTTCTCTGTACGGTGTGGTGAAGGGATACGATGAGAAGAAATGGACCGTGACCTTCAACGTGGTGCCTTGCGAGAATATCGAGATGAATTTCCCTGTTGTGGATAATGACACGAATGCAAACTATGCTGGAATTGCTGGATATGCTTTCTCTCTCAGCTTAAAGTCCGTACCCACGGAGGAATTCCCGACTGAACTTCCTACCGCTCTTCCATCTACTGAACTTCCTACTACCGAGGCTCCTACCACTGCTGCTCCCACTACTCTTCCTCCTACTGAGGCTCCTACTACTCTTCCTCCCACTGAGGCTCCTACGACTACTGCTCCTACGACTCTTCCTCCTACTGAGGCTCCTACCACTGCTGCTCCCACTACTGCTGCTCCTACCGAGGCGCCTACCACCCAGGCTCCTACGACTGCTGCTCCTACGACTCTTCCTCCTACTGAGGCTCCTACCACCCAGGCTCCCACCACTTTGCCTCCTACTGAGGCTCCCACGACTCCATCTCCTGAAGACGGAAAAGTGACGATTCGCCTTGAGCGTATTTGCGGAACGGTTGCTCCTGAGGAGGAATCCTTTGAAATTTACGAAGGTGTCGATATTGAGAATAGCACACCGCTTCCTGGTGGCCAGACGACGTGTGTAGCTGGAAACACAATCTTGTCTATTAACCCGACCGTGCATACGCTTGTATTAAGAGATTCCGCAGCGAATGGCTGGGACGAAGGCTCGGTTATCCGAATTTGGAAAAATGATTTGCCTATTTTTGACTTTAGAATGGAGTCTGGTCTGCCAGTAACGACATCAACGTTCAGTTTTGGAACCCCTGCTCCTGAAATTCCTGTTGAAATTGTTGTGAATGACACGTTAGGGTCGATTGACAACATTCCTAAGGATGTCACGAAGCTCACGTTCCAGCAAGGCTCCTTCAACGATCTGACATCTCTTGTGCTCAACTTCCCCAAGTTGAAAACTTTGATCTTTGAGGACAACACCTTCAATAATGTAGAATATTTTGGAGATTAATGCTCCTCTTTTGACAGAGC